AAGATAATCGTAAGCTTACAGGCGGAATACATTCCTTTGAACTGAAATATTTAAGAGCGTTCATGTACGCTATGCTGCTCACTGGCTGACGCAAGTTCAGGGGTTATTTGCACTACTCCGCGAGGTGTAGTATTCAGCAGGACTTTTATTGACGCATGCGCAGACGGTCGTTCCCGTAGTTCGTTCGCCTGCATTGCCTTGTGAGGAGGGTTGGCGCTGGCAGTAAGGCAGACATACTAGCCGAGTAAGTAGCGTAGAGGAGCTGGTGATTACGGTCGGCAGTCACGAAGGTGTGCGGAATTTTGTGTGCGAATTGGATTTATGTCGATAAGAGAGTAAAACATCGGTGCCCTAAAGTCTCGAAGAACCTGCAGTCGGATTTAGTTTGCTCGAAAGTTTATTACGTCATGGGCGAGAAAAGCGAAGACGACTTGTTAGATCTGGGGACCACGTGTAGTGCTGAAGGAGAGAGAGTGGTTCTCAAGCGAAAGATTACGCTTCAGAACGGCGTTGCAATTATTGTAGGGACAATAATAGGTTCAGGGATTTTTGTGTCACCAACAGGAGTGTTTATACAGACCAAGTCAGTCGGTGTTTCTCTAATAGTCTGGCTATTATCTGGCGTGTTTTCTATGTTAGGTGCCCTCTGCTACGCTGAACTAGGAACATGCATAACCCGCTCAGGTGGTGATTACGCCTACATTATGGAAGCTTTCGGTCCGCTGTGGGCTTTTTTACAGCTGTGGGTGAATCTCGTTGTACTTAGGCCAACAACTCAGGCAATTGTGGCCCTGACTTTCGCTCAGTATGCTGCCNACCGCCGTGAAAGCCTCAAATCTTACAAATATTGTATGCTTTGAAATGCCCGGTAGGTAGGATTACCAACCGCTAACAGTGAAATACGGAACGCAGATAAGCTGTACCAGGAAGAAATTGTGATATTTTCTTCAAACCCATATGATTAGGACACCTGCAACTGAAAGCTGATAGTTACACTATTCGGTTATTCATAATTGTGTGTAGTTACCAGAAATGCACATAGACTACGTTAAATTTACCAGAAGGACCTCCAACATTCGTACTATCACACTGTTTGTAATTTTTAATACACAACAAATGTTTTTAACTATACTTAGGCACGTTCATGTTTTATTTACATATAAAATCTCACGTGCCTAACTTAGATGATTAATTTAATATTGCCGTTAAACCAAGAGCTGAATGTATATTTCGCATGAGCTTCAGTATCGTTGTTTACCATGTACAAGAACTAATTTTGTCTTAACAGAAGTTGCTGTTTTTTTCGAAGAGTTTCTCGCCCTAGAGAAGTTTGTAGCCTACATTTCAAATACACCTCAAAAAAGTACACAACGACCGACATGTTATTGTCACTAACATAAATTGAAAAGTACCAAAGTCGAATGGTTTCTAGTGATATTATATTCTTCCTAAGTTTCAATGCAGACCTTCAATTGTATTGTATTGGAGAGGGTGGGTTTCCCCATGCATTTAGACCAACTGTTGGTCCATCGTGCGTCCCCCTATGATATTCTACCAGTCTCTATTCCCTACCGGTACTGGTGCGTGCCATCAGTCCCGACTCAGCCAGCGAGTTCGGCCTCTACTGGCTCAGCGGTATCTCGATGCTTCCCCCATCTACCAGAGGTGTTAGAGACTACTGTTGGGCGGGAAATGTCCTTAATTTGGCTCAGTGGTCCCCTTGGGACACGGGACCCACGGCTTAAAGTCCCTCCCGGAGGACTTGTTCCCTGAATTTTTCCACCCTTAAAAATTCCACGACCTCCGCCGGGTTTGAACCCGCGTACCTTGAGTCACGAAGTGGGAACGTTACCCCTAGACTACGGAGGCCGCTCAGACCTTCAATTGGTGCGAAAATTATTAAGTGGGGGCAGACAAAACTGGCTTATGGACATGCTGGTACCGCTTTTATTCCATTTTTTATTCTTGCTTTTTGGTGAAAATGATTACCTTGATAGGCCGCAAGTGGAACAATGGAATGGTAACTAACAGGGGAGGGGCCGCGCCATAGCTCAAGCGGTTAGTTGCTGGCTTCCCACCGCGGCGGCCCGGGTTCGAGACCGGGTCTGGTCAAGTAGGATTCGTAGTGGACAAAGTGGCGCTGGGGCAGGTTTTCTCCGAGTACTTCGGTTTCCACTGCCAATCTTCATTCCACCAATTGGTCCACAATCACCCTCACCTATCATCTGGGGTTGGTGGTACAATAGGCCATAAGTGGCCGCAGTACAAGGGACTTAGTCTCATCCCACTAGCAATAAAAAAAATAGTGTGAGAGTCCTGCTGTGAATATATGCGCAGTGATTTCGTGTTTGTTACGTTTGTAAGCACTGGAGCCACCAAGAATCCTGTTACGCAAATACATCAACTTTAACAGTCTAATAGAGCAATTGTAACCACGCGAATTGCCTGCTTAACGCTCAATAATTCAACTTTCGTTCACAGTGTGTATACGAGGGTGTCAAAAAGTTCCCGGAATGGTGGTACAGCACTCTGATGGTAGGACAACTTCTTGCTCCAACTCCGCGATGGTCATTCTTCGATCACATCGAATCAGTTGTCGCACTTTTCTAATCACGTCTTCGGTTCTGGATGTTGAAGGTCTCCCGCTGCCCTGGTCATCCCCTAACGTCTCCTGCCCGTTCTTAAACTGGGAAAACCAGTTGTAAACTGCGGATTTCTTTAGTGCAGTATCACCGTAAACTTGCTGCAGGGCCAATAGCGTCTCTGAAGCAGATTTTCCCAATTTGCACATGAACTTCATGTTCGCACGCGGTTCGAACTGCGACATTGCGCCGAATGACCAACACCCACGTCTAATTCAAACGGAACAGTAACGACACTACACACTGAAACCTGTCCAGACCTGTTGTGCCTGCGAGCAGACATGCAGAGCTCCCCACCACAACGGTGTGTGCGCTATCTTATTGCTCGTTCTCCGTCTGCAGTGGAATTCCGGGAACTTTTTGACTGACCTACGTATTAATGGCTTTTATTTCATTCTCTGAATGAAATAATAATAGATTTCTGTGTTTGCGTGTGTGAGGGACAGCAGATAAGTCAGCACAATGTTTTCAAATAGGTAGATATCAGTACAGTGGATATCACTTGCAGCCTGTCACAGACACAACAGAGGCTGATAAATCGAAATATAAACTTCATATGTTCGATTCACGATTTTTCAAAGCGACTGGTTTCCGCGACAGATAACAAGAATAGGGAAATATAACGTGTTAGTACAGTTATAAAGTACGTACTCTAGGATTCTTACTTGGGGCCCAATTTTATTTCCAAATTAGTACACGTAGGCCACAGAGGTTCGCGAGAAAAAATATATAAAGCATTCGACAATAATTGAAGTTATTCGTAGGAAAATTCGTAAACGGCCGTCGTTCGAATTATTTTATCAATCTTAGATGCTGGCAATGACAAATTTACAAAATTCGAAATACGATTTTGCTTCCAATTCTGAGCATCTAAGACTTTAACAAAGCCTAGGAATATGAAATTGGAATTCGAACCAAAGGACCGTCTAATCGCGCTCACAAGATCCCATCAAAAACGATAAAGCCTGCGAGTTTTAATCAAAATGTCCGGATGCAGCCGGGCAGTGGATTATGAACTGAATGTGAATGTCGCGAGACATGATAACTGAAAGACAACTTTGAATGCGGAGAACATATTGTAACGTGTTTTGCTCCTGAAGACGCCGTTCGGATTGTTAATTGGTTTATTTAACAACCTACAAGTCGTAGCTACAATTAATTATAACACTGTTGCGGGTTTACACAATTTTTAAACCCTACACACTATTCTATTCACTCTATCCTCAGTAGTCATAAATTATTTATAACGCGGGAGCTATCCAAGTCTCTCTTAATTACACACTCCCAATATAACTGTCACACAATACGTCTTCACTGGCTGACTTCTCAGTTATCGCGCACTATCACAAATTATCACATCAAATCTTCTAACTACGCGTTCGGGTCTTCTTCCCGCGAATGCTACTATACAGGGCTATATAAATGAGTCATTCGTTTTTAAAACGCTATATTTTCCAAAGCAATACACATACAAATATGATTAATATATAAAAAGAACCGTAAACTCACCAAGTTTTCTTCACACTCTACAAATGTACTATGTATGCCCCTTGGGTCTCACGACACACGTCCAGGCGGTAGTCGAGCTCGTTCGACACATTTTGTAGCATCATCCTGTCAATGGTCATCACGGCAGCATCGATGCGTTCCCTCAGCTTTACTAGTGTTCTTGGCAGTGGGGGTACGTAAATACGATCCTTAATGTACCCGCAAAGAAGAAGTCACAAGGCGTTAGATCAGGTGATCTGGGGGGCCAAGTGAACAGAGCTATGTCACCCTCACCAACACGCCCAATCCAGCGATGCCGAAGTTCATTGTTTAGGTAGCGACGAACATTTCCGATACCACCGCAAAATGCTTTGTTTACATGGCGGTTCTTTTCCGTACTCTTTTGAATTCGCGTTGCACTGCTATAACAGACGAACATCTCGCATATTCCAACAAACAAAAACTCTTTTCTTGCTTTGTCGCCATTTTGTAAAGGTACTGAACTCATGCTGCCAACTGGTACACACAATACAACTTGGTGAGTTTACGGTTCTTTTTATATATCAATCATATTTGTACGTATAATACTTTGGAAAATATAGCGTTTTAAAAAACGAATGAATCATTTATAGTAGCCTTGTATTTCAACTGATTCCTTAGGCAGTGTAGTTCTCTTATAAACCCTCAGCCAGACAAAGGAAAGCGCCTCGCTTCCCTGTTGCCTAGTCGCCTTGTTTACAGGTGTTGCTGGGCACCGGCGTCGAGAGTTGTCTCCTGCTGCGTAGCAACTGCGGTATCCCCCACTACGTCACTATGGGAAGCGCTGCCACGTCACCGCGGGGGAGGGGGCGCCCACCGAGCGTTGCGTACTGATGGAAGGAGTGGGGGTAGGTGACGTCACTCGCGAGACGCAGAGTTCACATGATCCCCACTTCCCGATGCGCCATCCACGTCAAAATATTATGAATTTCTTGAAAAATTATACATTAGAAACGAATTTGTTGTTTCAAGTGGTTTCCACTGACGTTAAAAAAAATAGAAATGAGGACATTGCAGTCTGACACGGCTGACTAATTCCACTCTGACCCCCACCTTCAACGAAGTTTTGAAGCCACGAAAGGGTGTGAGTACAAACATGGTTGTTCCTGTGTAAGATTTGAGGTTTTCACGGCGGTGACTATGAAGAAAGCCGTCTTCTGTGATGTGGCGCCATGCACTCAGTCTGTTTCACCTGCTCTAGCTGGTTCGCTCGCGGATTTTTTCTTATCTTCTACCCTGAAGATGGAGGCGATACGTTCCTCCGAAACGTCGGTTAACACAAATTCTACACGGCGCCACATCCCAGAAGACGGCTTACTTCATGTTAGTTCCTGTTCACCTTGCGTAAATAAACAGTGCCCGTGACACTGTAAATGTAATATTTCATCAATTGAAGCCTACTACTTTGCATTTTTTCTTTTGCCTTTCACAAAGTATGACTATAGACATATTCTACCAGTATAATCATTTTCAAAACTTGACTTATTTAAAAGAACTATGTCACATTTCCTGCATTTGTGTATTCTCTTTTTTGTATTTCGTTTGTTACCCTTAATAAAGAAGCAATGTATTTAGTTGCGAGAGGTTAGAAGCCGTTGCAAAGGAACGGCTGGTGAAGACAGACTATAGAGGACTTATCGAGAACTCTGATGATTTGCAGAGATTAGCAATGGCGCTGTAATTACTTGTAGTTCCGATTCGTGCGTATAAGCCGTCAGTAAATCCATTCACCAATGCAGACCCCGTCTATAGGCACACACATAAATCGTAACAATATCTTAATCTCGGGTGTTCCAAAGATACTGACAATGAAACACTCAGTATACCGAATGTGAAACGAGCCCCATTAAACCCTATCATATATCAGTACGTTATATATTATTTACCTAGGGCGGACAAATTTCAGTCTTCCCATTAGCAGAGTCGATTTATTTGGTCTGTACTGGAACCTCCAGACTTGCATATCCATCACATTATCCGTGTTTATTTAACGTTTATTCAATTTGAAATTGCCATACCTTCAGTGCTGTATGCAAGAAAGTAACTGTTTACAGTTTCCCGTTTAATACAAATCCCGTTTTCGATAAACTTTTATTGAACTACATAAAGCAAAAGCATATAAGCCCACTCTGTCAGCTTGGTACTCCCGGATACTGTATTGCCGTTCGGTTATATTACCCGCACGCACTTGCTGTCGAAGAAGATGCCTATGTCGCCCGGCGAACGTTTCAGTCAGCGTTTAATTCAGCCGTAAGCTCTCTAATTGTGTCTAGTTTATCTTGAGAACTATGTAGAAGCATGGGCTGTTCTTCGTTTATTTAATGACGCTCTTTCAACCAAAGAGATTATATAGCGGTAAATGAGAAGGAAGGTTGTCATGAATAGTGAGTAGATAAGGGTTGTGAAGGAGGCTGTCATGGTCTGTTCGAAGGTGTTTTTCCGCATTCACAGCGAAGAAACCATGAAAATCATAAATAACTTAACCTGTAACTTATCCAGGATTCGAAGTGGGCACATCCCTAATAAAACTCTGGAACGTTACTATTACGCCAGTATCAAGCTACAAAATTCGTCATATTAAGGACAAGATAGGGCCATTCTCTTGCGATAATAATAATGACACTGGCAAAAGGTAAGCAAGGTGCACTTGTCCTTTTGCGTAATTAATTCTTGACTTAGACGCTAGATAGATTTGAATGGTTAGCTTGACGCCCCTGCCGTTTAACCCCCGGAGAAAGAGCCGCTGGTACTAGTTGGATAGGAGGCTGGGTGGGCCCCAGAGCCGGTCTAGACCCTGTGAAAAAGAGAAAAATCTCTTGCCCCTGCCGGAAATCGAACCCTGGTCGTCCAATCCGACGTTACACCGACTGAGCCATCCCGTGGTAGCGGTATAATTTGTTACCGATAGGATGGTTGTGAAAATTCTAGAAACAACAAGGCCATATTCGAATGCAGGTCAACATCTCTTTTAATCATTGGGTAGTTCTTTAGTTAAGGCCACTGTGCCATATGAAGGAGTTTCTTTATATCTTTGCCTTTATTTTTAATTTCGTCGTATTTCTTCAAACCCCTTCTTTATTCCTTTTCTATCCCCTCGCGTTCTTCTTTCACTACCTTTATCTTTTTTCTTCCTTGATTTATTTTCTCTTCTTTTTTCTTCATTCTTTCCGCTCACACTTCCTTCAGTTCCTTTAGCTTCATTCAGACCTCTTATCGTTTCTCTGTTACATAGCGTTCTTTTGTTACATAATTTATTATTTAATTCGATAGGATGGCCGCGCCATAGCTGAAGCGGTTAGTCGCTGGCTTCCCACCGCGGCGGCCCGGGTTCGATCCCGGGTCTGGTCAAGTGGGATTTGTGGTGGACAAAGTGGCGCTGGGGCAGGTTTTCTCCGAGTACTTCGGTTTCCCCTGCCAATCTTCATTCCACCAATTGCTCCACAATCACCCTCACCTTTCATCTGGGGCTGGTACAATAGGCCAGAAGTGGCCGCAGTATAAGGGACTTAGTCCCACCCCACTAGTAGTAAAAAAGATAATTCGATAAGATAACTACGAAGACATTAATGGTCAGTTAATCAGATCGAGGTCCAGTCGTACTGGGAACATCTGTCACCCCCATACGCGTACATGGAAGAGCCATATTGCTTGGACCCTCATTTGCTTTGTTATTAACCCTTTAAAGCCCAGTGGTTACTCTATGTACCACCCACTTTAACTACTCAGACTTTGCATTCCGCCCACAGAATGTATCTGTGTGTTCGGTATGGTTCTCGCCATGAACAGCGTTTGTTAGGTTTTGTATACGTAAGTCAGACAGAATGCGTCAGCCAACCCCAGTCATCTGGTTCTTACGCAATTCTTGTCAAATTTTGTATTGAAGTGTTCCGAGACAGTGAACACGCACAGGATAACAGGATACACGAAATTTAGGGAAAGGAAAGTGAAATAACTCCATGAACCTACTGATTTATAAAAATAATAGGGGTATATATTACATGTTAATCTTTAGACACGACATAGAATTTAGTAGAGGACATGACCTATGACGACAACCTCTGTGGTGTAGTGGTCAGAGTTCCTGGCTACAGATCCAGAGCTCCCGGGTTCGATTCCCGGCGCTATCAGATTTTCTGAGAAGTAGCGGGTCTGGAACGGGCTCCACTCAGCCTCGTGAGGATAACTGGGGAGCTACTTGAATAGAAAAGTATCGGCTCCAGTCTAGAAAATCGAAATTAACGGCCGTGGGGATTCGTTGCGCTGACCACGCGACATCCTCTATCCGCTAAAGTTGGCACTAACTTCGCCGACAAGCGGCGGTCGCTCTGTCGGTATAGTTCGCTTACGGACTAAAGGCACGGAGTTTTTCTTCATGACCTAAGACATCAGATTCAGAGGTCATAAACGTACAGGAGTGGGGAAATTAATTTGTGTTAATATAGAATAGAATGAAATGTAAAAGATGATTATGAAGTGCGAATATGTAGGCTTTTACCAGGAAACTTTCATGGTATATCGGGAGACATTATCTCGCAAAGTCACGAAAAAACACAGGCAGGATAGCAGATAAGTTAGGCGGGATTTGAACCAAGTTTATCTCTACACTAGACTGCAGAGTGATTGTATAATACGTAAAGAATTAGAGTGGGTGGTATGGAGCTATTAGGATTAGGAATAGCTTATGATAACCATGGCAACCCAAAAACTACCTTTGGGTAGTAGAATTTACCAGCATGGCCCGTCACCTAATTTCGTACACAAATAGTTAAAAAAATCGCAAGAATATTTAATAAAAGTAAACATAAAAGTTGTCTCTGTGCTTAATAAATTAAACACAATGCCATGAAGACATATGGGGGCAGTGGAGGTAGAGCGATGTGGTCAGCTTCACGCCCTGGCTGTTTAACCCTTAAGGAAAGATACCCAAGTTCCCAGTGAGTAAGAAGCTGGGCGGGTTCCAGAGCCTCTCTGGAAGCTTTGGAGAAGAGAAAAATGTCTTAAACCCTGCCGGAAATCGAACCCCGACCTCTCCTGGCTTATTAATGCTGATAATAATTGTTAAATAGAAACATAACAGAAATGTATTGAAGAAAATAGAAACGATGTATTTTTTTGCGACCAGGATAGGTTTGAGGTTGTTTTATTTCGCGCTTACTTTCCAGTTATTTGCACACTTTCTGCTCACGTCTCTGTGAACTAAATTCCATGTGTCCGGTCTGATATTAGACACGAGTCAACGACGGCGATTGTGGCAGTGTTCCATTTGTTCAGTCCAGTCTTACTTCAGGCGTGATAACTGATGAATATGGACAATTAAAGTCACAGTAGCACACCCGTACAAAACCTGCTGTGCTGTCAGTATTACACTTCGTCTAGATACGTATATCAATTTTTGACCGTTTACAATCCTGTTGACCTTGTTTTACGAAGAAAGTTATGTTATATTTTAACGCACGCAGTCACAGGAGCAAGACACAACACAGAGCACAATACACATGAATGTAGAAGCGTGCTCCGACAGAGGAGGATTGGCGTGACTCGCGTATTTGAGATACGACGTATGGATGACGAATCCTGAAAGGTTTTAATATTTAGAATTTGTTATACATGACGAATACACATTTTAGTCATTTTATGATGGAGACATCATGGCATGCAGTGCAGTAGTTTGACGTGGATAGAGACACACCTGAAGATGGCACATTAGTGCCGAAACATGTAGTGTAAAAGTGAAGAGAAAGGTGAAATTGTGTGCACTGTAAGACGGTTAGCAAAAATACACATCAGCATTACGAAGAAAGATTAGCGTGTTAGGCCTGTTATGTTAATACTTCTATGCCTCTGTTCCCCATAATTTATGAAGAAAACTACGACTCTTCGTGAACATTTGTGTGAATATTGTATCGCAAAATCATAATGCCTTCTCACTTCATGATTTTAATTCCTTACCATTAACAACACCAATTAAATTTTTTTATATTGACACAACCTGTTTGTGTTTATGAATGTTACTGTGTATAACTGGAGGGCACTATGCTGCAAGCCGGAAGGTCGCGGGTTCAAATCCCGATGAGGTCATTGATTTTTTTTTTCAATTGACCTAATCCTTCCAGCCACACTATGGCCCTGGGGTTGACGCGGCCTCTAACAGAAATGAGTACCAGGAATATTCTAGGAATATATTCTTGGGGGTAAAGGGCGGCCGGCGCGTAGGGCTGACAACCTTGCCGCCATCTGTGAGCCGACTGTCTACAAAATGTGGGAACCTCAACATCTCACAACCCTATGGGCCTCCACGGTCTGTTACAGGGATAGCTTTACTTACCTTACTTTTACCATCAACAACACCAATTTAATTTTTTTTTGTATTGACACAACCTGTTTGTGTTTGTGAATGCTACTGTGTATAATTATGGGGGTACGCGGTAGCGTAGTTGGTTGAAGCACTGTTACTAGCCGGAAGGTCGCGGGTTCGATTCCCGATTAGGTCATTGGGATTTTTAATTGACTTAACCCTTCCAGTCGCACTATGGCTCTGCGGTCGACTCAACATCTAACAGAAATGAATACCAGGAATCTTCTGGGGGGGGGTAAAGGGCGGCCGGCGCATAAGGCTGATAACCTCACCTCCATCTGTGAACCAGTTGTCTAAAAAATGTGGGAGCCCTGACGTCTCACAACCCTACAGGCCTCCACGGCGTGTTATAGAGATATTTTTACCTTTTTTACCTTATGGATTAATCTACTGTTGTGTTTTTGCACACCACAACAGCACAACTTACTGTAGTTCTTCGTTTTTGTGAGTTTTCAGTCTACGATTGTCTTCATCCCTTATCTTCCCATGTCGCTGTCAGCCTTGAAGAAGAATACGTCATTGAAACGAGTAATAAATCAAATGTTGATAACAATGCGTGGTTTCCAGATCTGAAACTTGTTTAGTACAGCAAAACAATGAGGGTAATTGCCTGTGGTACTTTACTTAGTGACCCGCTGAACAGTTTGACTTCGGGATGAGCTGTTGCTTCGAATTACGAAGCCCCTCACATTGCAGTGCCACATGTGTAGTGTATGCAGTTGAGCAGCGTCTTTCATTCACTTAGAAATAAATTCGAGGGAGTCCACAGGACAATTAGTTAATGTATCTGGTGCCTGACCCGGGTTCGAACCTCCTACCCCTCTAGTTCGAGTTCAGCCCCTCCAACATGCGAGACAATATATAGTTAAAGGTAAAGCTATCCCTANCAGGCCGTGGACGCTCATAGGGTTGTGAGATGTTGAGGTTCCTACATTTTCTAGACAATCGGCTCACGGATTGAGGTAAGGTTGTCAATCCTACGCGCTGGCCACCTTTACCCCCCCCCTCCCAGGAAGATTCCTGGTACTCATTTTTGTTAGAGGCTGAGTCGACCCCAGGGCCGTAATGCGGCTGGAAGAATTACGAAGTAGGTAAATTGAAAAAGAAAGACACGCATCGAGACTCGAATCCGCGACCTTCCGGCTTGTAGCATAGTGCTTCAACCAGATACGATACCGCGTAATTTTCGAATCGGAAGCAATAAAATAAAACTGCTTACGGAATATGAAAATATCACTCAAAAAAATATTATTTTTAGAGTGAATGCCGCACACTGCTAAACAGCTTCAACAAGAGCGCCTTTATTTCGTTGTCTCCGGTTTGAAAAGCATAGGCCACGGAAACCCCGACATTAATTTAGAATCACGTTTTATGTTTCAGGCTTATTGACTGCAGTGAACTGCGTGAGTGTGAGGTGGGCCATGAGGATTCAGGGATTATTTACCGCTGCTAAGTTGCTGGCACTGGTGGCTGTTGTTATAGCTGGTATTGTCCACATTGCAGGAGGTGAGGATATTTTGCATGACTGCAAAATTTCACTGATCCGGTCGGTATGGTTAAAAGGGTTGTATGGATTAGACAGTAATTCAGATTAGCGAAGTGATAATATTGTGACATGTAGACCCGTTGCTGGGCAACGACTCCGTAAACATATTCCCGCCAAACGACTGCGCAGGCAACAATCGGATAACTTCCGTTTCTATGCAACGGCGCTGTAAATACAGTAGAAGTAGAGGTGAATACAATCTCTCTTAATTTCATCCTGAATTGGGTTGTGATTTGTTATATGCGACATAATTTCAGAAATTCCGAAATTGATGTCAGAATTAGAAATGTAGGCGAAGATTTTCAGGCAGTTCAGCAGTAATTGGTCTTGAAGGAGGGGAACGCTTGAAAGAGTTTGATAGAGCGTCGCTGCTTCTGCTTCTGCTGCTGCTGATGATGATGATCTGCACTGTACCCTTCTTAATAAACAACTGAACAAATGGAACCGGTGTTAACTGCGCTACGATTAAGCTTAGAATGTGATATTTTGAATAACAGGGCCCACATTAGGAAAATTTAACTTTATGCAGTTTAAGGGGAATGTGAGAATGCTTACAAAATTTTAATCGGAAAATTTGGAGTGAAGGGAAGATTTAGGAGATCTAGGCATAAATGGAAGGATAATATTAAAATTTTATATGGCCGTGTGGGGCATTGGATTTTAATGGAAAACCTGAAGGGTGAACCAGGGTGTAGATGAGAAGTAAAGTTGTTCTTATGTTTAATTAAACATATTCCAATGATTCCTTGTGAAGAATGGAGGTATAGTTCCACGCTTTCTTAATCTTGACACTGCGTGTAGGTGCAGTCCCGGTACCCATTGATAAGAGGCCGATTGGGCCCCAAAGTTTGTCCGGACGTTGTGGAGAAGAGACAAATATCTTGCACCTACCGAGAATCAAATCCCGATTCCTAGATCGTCCAGCTCGTAGCCTAGTCACTATACCGACTGAGCCGTTTATGCTCCTGAAGCGTAGATAGGTGTATAATATTAAAATGGGTCATGAAGGAATAGAATGTGAGATTGCGATTCTATTAAACAGGCTCAGGATCGGGTTCACTGGAGGTCTGATGTCAAAACGATGGTGTATTTTTAGAGTCCATAAATGTAATGACTTTCTTGACTAGAATAGCGACTGTTAGCTTCTTAAGAATGTCTCTGCCCCACGTACTTAGTGACCAAGAGAAATTACTGATAAAAAGATTTCTTGTCATTGGAACTGCCGACCTGAAAACACATTCCAGGCAAACTGATGTTTTCAAATGAAATCTCTCTTTCGTAACACAACAAAGGATTGAATTTGCTTTAGGACCGCTGATCTAGATGTATTCTTTATTTTATTTCAACGCTTCTCCATCACACGCCTTCAGATTGATACTGTTGATGTCTTGTATAAGATGGGCTGCCTACAGTGTCATGTCATTCATACCGAGGTCCTTAGCAATCGCTGTGTCAGTGTCTGTAACATTGAAATGTGTTATTTAAACATGGGAAACGTAAAGTCTTGTAGTCAGTTGGTACGGCTCTGAAGAAGCAGCTCTTTTACATTTGTTTTAAACCCCAGGAGCTTCATACTAGGCATACTTGCGCATGCGTGCAAACATGGAAGCCTGCCAAGCGAGGCTTCTTCTGTCCTGATGTCTGTGCAGGGGCTTAATTAATTTTGTTTTTACTTTGAGGCCTGTCTCGCTCCTCCAGCTGCTCACAGAGACAAAGACATGGCCTGCGAAATACCTACTCTTCCCTATTAATAGCCTAGTCCGTTTTATACAAATTAAGTGTATTTCTTAGAAAAATATTTGAAATTTATTTTGAGTAATTTTGAATTAGGAGCCCCGATATCTCAGTCGGTGTAGCGATGGGTTACGGTTTGGGCCGCCGGGGTTCGATCTCCGTTAGAGATAAGAGATTTTTCTGTTCTCCACAGTGTCCAGACCAGGTCCGGAGCCCACCCAGCCTATCAAATGGAAACCGCAGGGGTAAAGCGGGCAGGGAGTGAAACTGACCACTCATCTCCATCTAGTGCCGAGATGAAGAAATGGTGGAACTCTACCTCCACTTTCCCACACACCTTCAAGGTGCGATACTTAATTAATTAAGCACGGGGACGAATTTACCTTTTTTGTCATTTTCGGTTTGTCAGTTTTTCAAAGATTATTTTTCTAACATTACGAAATGTCGGTTATTTCTCCGTCCTTTTTGTTCCTCGTTACTTCTCATATTTTTATCAGTAGGGCAGATACGGCAAGATTATATACGAGTGGTCTTGTCTTGGTTTATTTAACGACGCTTACTCAGCTACATAGGTGTTACACAGAATCGGATGTCAGGGAGAATAGAGTTTGGAGGGAAGAGGCCGTGATATGTTTAACATTTTCAGGCCCTAAGCGCACAGTTGCGTGGGTCGTGTCATTGTAGGAGGAGGAGAAGGAGAGGATGATGGAAGAAGAGAAAATTAAGAACAATGAGAAGAGGAGACAGGAAGAGAAGAGAGAACAACAGAAGAAGAGGATATGTGGCAGTAGTATAAAGGTGGAGTAAGAGAAAATTCTTCACCTTTTGTGGGGCCCGAGGGTTCATTTCCGTGTTCACAAAAGCGTCCCGATAATTTCTATCCTAAGCCAGATAAATCCAATTCATACCCTATTTCTTTAAGATGCCTTCCTAATATCACCCCCCATTCTATGTAATACAGAGTAGCTCAGGAGTCAGTTAACCTAAAACATTGTCTCTGAACATTATGATGCCAGTCAACGGTATCACAGCGCTATGAGTTGTGCATTTGACAAGGAGGACATCGTTTCGAACAAGTTTCATAAATTCAGAGAGTAATAAAGAAATTTCTGGCGTATTTTAGTGTACATGTTGCCAAGCAGTTAACTGACTTTTAGGTCACCTTATATTTAAAAAACGTAACGAAGAGATCACAAACCTAAAACTGCTTATATCTGAAAGATTACAAACAAAAACAAACTCCGTGGTTTTAGTCTGCAAGCGACCGCCGCTTGTCAGCAAAGTTAGTGCCAACTTTTAGCGGATAGAGGGTGTCGCGTGGTCAGCGCAACGAATCCCCACGGCCGTTAATTTCGGTTTTCTAGACCGATATCTGAAAGATTAGCTATTCGAAATCAAACAGGAGTTATAACTCAAAATAGTTCCATTCTATGCAATGTTCTTTTTAAGTAAAACACAAACTACGGGGTTTGTGAGGCCTGGACCGCCTCTGTGGCCTAGTGGTCACAGTTCCTGGCTACAGATCCAGAGGTACTGGGTTCGATTCCCGGCGCTACCAGATTTTATGAGAAGTAGTGGGTCTGGAACGGGGTCCACTCAGCCTCGTGAGGATAACTGAGGAGCTGTTTCAAGGAAATAGCGGCTCCGGTCTAGAAAACCGAAATTAACGGCCGTGGGGATTCGTTGCGCTGACCACGCGACACCCTCTATCCGCAAAAGTTGACACTAACTTCGCCGACAAGCGGCGGTCGCTTGGTCGGTATAGTTCGCTTGCGGACTAAAGGCCACGGAGTTTGTTTTTATCTTTCGTTTGTTATATGCTTGTTGTGAATGATATTCCACTTCGGTTATAGGAAGTTTACGGGGTATAGTCTGTAGAATAACTTTTTTATGTCGCTCCAGGAAACACGTCCTATTTCAACGAGCCGTTTGACGGAGACTACAATGTGGGGAGCATTGCTGTTGCTTTCTATTCCGGCCTGTTCGCCTTCGGAGGCTGGAATTTCCTCAACTTCGTCACAGAAGAACTTCAGGATCCATATAGGTTTGTTAAAAATCGCCTCTTGTTCCAATACTGAATTCACAAACCCAGTGACATCAGAAATGAGAGTGTAGATATAATTCTTAATGATATTTTGATTGGCTGATTCTTTGGTTAACGAGACATCTCCAAACTTTGTTGCTTATGCTTACTTAAACCGTTCCTCTTATACTTTACCGTGTCGGGGTTGTTTCTTCATTTTGATCATTTTACAGACGGTAAGACTTCTTTGACGAGTGGTGAGCTTGTCGCAAGGCCTCTACTTAAACACAGGACAACACAAACACAGAATAAACACTTACACATAACCAAACATTCATACCTTGTGTGGGATTCGAACCCACGATCCCGGCTTCTGAACGAGCGAAGACAGTACATTCCTTAGACCGCTCGGCTACTGTGACCGGCTTGATGCTTATAAAGAGTCAAATTTAAGGATGATTGTAAATGATGAATTAGGTATGAAGTGGAAGGAATTGCCCCATGGCCTGTTCTCGAGTACGATTCCAAAATTTGCTGAGACAGAAGACTCACTCACTCGCTGACTCATGGAGCCGAGCCCTTGATGAGCCGCCAATTGTGCAGCTACTCAAGAATTTCCCAGCATTTTATGGAACCCGAAGGTTCATCGCCGTCTTCACAAGAGCCCTCCACTGGTCCCTATCCTGAGCCAGATCAATCCATACCATCCCATCCTATCTCCTATCTCTCTAAGAGCCATTTTAATATTGTCCACCCACCTACGCCTTGGTCTTCCCAGCGGTCTCCTCCCTTCCGGCTTTCTCACCAATATGCTATATGCATTTCCTCTCCCCCATTCGTGCTACATGCCGAAAGACAGTCTAAAGAATTTTAATATCTGGACACTGGACAGAGATTCGGTTCCAGCAGCGGAAATCACCGCGTATTTCACGATCATGGAATGAAGAAATTCCAGTGAATATTTTAAAATATTAGCGCCCGCCTTAAACATACCCGAGGATACCCAAGGTGCCTCCAGGCGCAATGTTGGCAACGTCTGATCTGTAATTCAAAACAAGAACATAACGGCTCAGAGTTCCGGCGCGGTCTGGCTTCAGAGACGGTCTGCGCTGTAACTCTTAGGCCCACATCCTGCCCAACGTGTTTTAAATTCATCGTGAGGCACTCACATATCCACACCGAACGAATCAAATGTTCAACCTCTTCTAAAACGCCGGATACGTCATTCTATTTACTCATACATAGCGTATTTAACGGCAGTGGTAGTAACTCGGATTAAATAGTGTCTGTGATTGGATGACAGTAAATAACGAACTGAAAATTATGTGGAAGGAAGCGGTCGCGGCCTAATTTAAGATATTACCTGTCATTTGTTGGATTTGAGGATAGCTACAAATCCAAATCAAGATAGTCTGTACCCCATACCGAGATTCGAAATAGGAGCCTCCTAATTTAAGATATTACCTGTCATTTGTTGGATTTGAGGATAGCTACAAATCCAAATCAAGATAGTCTGTACCCCATACCGAGATTCGAAATAGGAGCCTCCAGAATGAGAGCCAGAAGCGTTACATCTTAACCTTTTAATGTTTGCATCATATAGACTGCCTCTGTGGTCTAGTGGCCAGAGTGCCTGACTACAGGTTCAGAGGCTTCGGGTTCGATTCCCGGCGCTATCAGATTTTCTGATAAGTAGTGGGTCTGGAACGGAGTCCACTCAGCCTCGTGAGGATAACTGAGGAGCTACTTGAATGGAAAAGTAGTGGCTCGGGTCTAGAAAACCGAGCGGCTCTGCCGCTTTACCCTCCGGGTAACAACCCCCTTTAGCCATTGTCTAGCAGGTTGGGTGGATCCCAGAGCCAGAGTCTCTTGCCCCTACCAGTATGTTCCAATTCTTCATAACTCTCAGACAAAATGCCTACTTTATAACGAACAAACAAAACAATCAAACTCCGTGGTCTGTAGCCCGCAAGCGAACTATACCGATCGAGCTACCGCCGCTTGTCAGCGAAGTTAGTGCCAACTTTTGCGGATAGAGAGTGTCACGTGATCAGCGCAACGAATCCCCACGGCCATTAATTTCTAGACCGGAGCCGCTGTTTCCTTGAAATAGCTCCTCAATTATCCTCACGAGGCTGAATGGACCCCGTTATAGACCCGCTACTTCTCAAAATATCTGGTAGCTTTGGGAATCGAACCCGGGACCTCTGGTTCTGTAGCCAGGAACTCTGACCACTAGACCACAGAGGCGGTCGAGATGCTGACAATATCGCAAATTAAACCATACGTCAGTCAGATATCAAGAGTTCGCGCAGAGCAGATTGGCGTTAAATACACAACTTTGCCTTCGAAGCTTGAACTTTGAAGGTAGATCTGTTTGAAATTGGAGCTATTGATGCTGTTTAATTTAATTAGCTCCCATTTACTATGTAATAAGAACCTGGAACTTCCGAACCCTTACATCTCAAGTAAATTCAATTCTGCTTTTCAGAGCTACAGTTCGTTAGGTTCGACTGTTCTCAATAATCGCATCCTTCCCGTAAGCATTTCAGACTTTTCTTCCATTCAGTCTTACTGATGAAGCTGTTTTTGTTTGCAGAACCTGTTGAAGCATAACATCTTCTGTACACAAAACTGTAAGCGCCACGTCCTTTTCGGAGACACTCGTTTCATTTTGTATGTTCATGGTTTATTTAACGACGCTGCCAATAGTTCAGCCTATATAGCGTCGAATGGTAGGCTCATTAATAAATGATGAATTAGAAGGATGTGGAAGGAGACGTTCATGGACTACTTCAAGGTACTTTCCTGGAAGGACTCTGTACAATCACGAAAAAACCGAATTCAAGGTATTTGGGATCCCGATCAAGGTTTGAACCGAATACCTACCAAGTAGAAGTCTGAAGTGTTTGTATCTTACGTAAAGTTTCGCATGAGGAGGTATGAGGACTGGAGGTACAGCTCCACGAATTCATAACCACTTCGCTAACGTTTGTGTGTTATGGAAAGAATGAGTTGTGTGGGAGTATTTAAGAATCGTTTTGATTTTCATCATCAGTCGGTAAACGTAACGGAGAGGAAACAGGAGACATGATTGTAAACGGGAGGTTAATATTAAAATGGATCTATAATACAATGTGAGATATCTTGTATTGTCTGGTGCACTGAACGCATACACTGTTTCTACTGATCAACGTAAATATATACTTTTTTTTTTATTTTCGGTCAAATTTTATTTGTTACTTTTTCTCTCTCTGGAAAATTCAATATCTGTGAAAGAAACTTTACGTCGGACTCATCTGCAGATAGGAAACTTGTTACGTCGTGATACTGAGCAGGTTGGCATAGCGGTAATGACCTACATTCATATTCGGAAGGTGTCCTATATAAATCTTGGGACACCGTCTATCCATACTGATATTTTTCTTGGTTTTCCATAGCCCCTCCAAGTAACTGTCGTGACAGCGTTTCAATGAAGCGAGGACCGCTTTCCTGCAAATTCTTTCTAATTAATCTATCTCACAATTGACGTCACAGAGGCTAAGATATTGACAGTATCGTAGAATGACGCCCTCCGCCACCCTCCACACAAAAATATTAACGTCGTGACGGGGAATAAATCGGAAAGTCGAGAGGAGCAACAGGTTTCAACTATGCTTCTGCTTTAATACACTGTCTGGGAAGATATCGGAAGGAAAACTGTGTTCTCAATCTTTTCCCTCCGGCTACAAGCAAAAGATGCTCGCAGCTAAGCCTATCACGGCTCAGCAGACCGTGTATTACTGTAAGGTTGTATATGTATACGTGAACTGAATTCATGTTATTCTTCCTACCTGTTTGTGCTTCAAGGCGGAAGGTCGCGGGATCGATTCCCGATTAGGGCATTGGATATTTAATTGACCTAATGCTTCCAGCCACACTGTGACCCTGGGGTGGATTGCCGCTTCACATAGTAAAAAATGTAAAGTTGTCCCTGTGCGTAACTAATTAACCACTACGCCATGAAGGCGTATGGGGTGATGGAACTGTAGATCCTCATTTTCTTGACCTCGACACTAGCTGGAGGTGAATGGTCACGCCCCGGTCGCCTTACTCCTGGTGAAAGAACCCCCCGTACCCATTAGTTAGGAGGTTGGGTGGACCCCAGAGCCTATCTGGACGACGTGGAGAAAAGAAAATTCTTGACCCTACCGGGACTAGAACTCCGACCCCTCTGTCGTCCAGCTCGTAGCCAGTAGCTATACCGACTATGCTATCCCGGCTCCCCGCTGCTTCCAAATTAAAGGTGTAAAACTAGAAGCTATTATTCTTCTTCTTCAAGGTAGAAAACTCAGAAAATGGAGGCAGCTGCTAACTGCATAGCCCTGAAGACCACAACCAAAGCTTTCAAGATCTTCATAACCTCAGATCTTAATTTACAAAGAAACAGTATGCACGTAGACGAGATGACAAAAACTTGATCGGACAAGATTTCACCGCTGTTACCACAGTTTGCGGTCAGTTATATACATGAAAAAAAAGGAAGATATTGTATTTCAAAGTGTCACGGTACATTTAAAACTCACGTTACAGCGTGAAGTCTCAAAAACTCTGATTGTAAATCATTCCTGTAAAATTGGATCAGGTTTCTGTATCTTCAGTTCAGATATACCAGTAATGATGGTGGAAACGTGTTTCAAGTGCCTCTGTTAACAGCAAAAATCTCTCCTCGGCTTACGCTCTGCAAGCGGCCTTATCTTCTTTTTCTGCTCGATACTGCTCGTGTCTGGTGCTACCTAATACTGGATGATTCTCCTTTCGCCGACGCTACAAGCCATGGGAAGGGGCAAGTGGGTTGTTGAAACAGTGATATGGAAGTGAGAGTACATTTCCCATACGTCACTTGTGAAAATCAGTTTATTTTGTGTAGGTAGGGACCAGTGGAGGGCTCTTGTGAACACGGTAATGAACCTTCGGGTTCCATAAAATATTGGGAGGTTCTTGAGTCAGCTGAGCGACTGGCGGCTTCTCAAGAAGGACTTAACTCTACGGAATCAGTTAATTAGTTAGCCTTATTTATTTAGTTATGTATTTATATATTTGTTTTACTTATTTTATAAATTAAACGATGATATATCAACAGAATTTTCTCAGGCACTCTATAAGTGCCGTGGGTTATGTTACATGTCCTATTTACATAATGTCCTCACATTCAGCATACCTTAGAGTGGCGATGATGCTGTATTCGGACAGCATCTCGCGCTGGGAAAACCTGAGTGGAAGCCATTGTATCTGCTTTCCTGAAAACATCTACCTTATGCCTACTTATTTCTCAGGGATAGCATGATCTAGTCCACAAGTAGCGGATTTGCCCCTACAATGTCAAGATTGATTGTAAAAGTAAAAAACTAGCACGATTTGTCAGGCGATAACCACATGTCTTGTATTCAACATATAACTGGATTCTGACGTCCGGGACACCAACTGCCCTGCAGGGTTATTTCGTGGTTTTCTTCAATCCCTCCTGGCAAATAATGCCTTAAATTAGGCCACGACCGCTTCTATCCATATTCTTGTCATTCATTGGACCTGGAACGCGGTAGCATAGTTCAGGCACTATGCTACAAGCCGGAAGGTCGCGGTTACGATTCCCGATGAGGTCACTGGATTTTTCGGTTGACCTAATCCTTCCAGCCGCACTATGGCCCTGGGGTCGACTCAGTACAGAAATGAGTCCCAGAAATCTTCCTAGGGGTAAAGGGCGGCACGCGCGTAAGGCTGACAACCTCAGCGCCATCTGCGAGCCGATTGTGTAGAAAATGTAGGAGCCTCGACGTCTCACAACCCTGTGGGCCTCCACGGCTTGTTACAGGGATAGTTTTATCTTAGCTCAGTCATTCGATGCTATATAGGCTCAGTTACTATGAGCTTCATTAAATAAACTACAATGGTGATGAAAGAATTATTCGCTGAAGGTAAAGTTCTCTCTGTGTATAATTGAGTAGTTAAAAACCTTGAAAACATATGGGGATGGAGGTATAGCTCCATCATTCTTGATCTTGACACTAGATCGAGGTGAGTGGTCGGTTTCACGCCTGACGGCTTTAACCACGCCACAGGAAAATAACCACCGCTATCCATTGGATAGGAGTCTGGGTGGGCCCCAGAGCCGATCTGGACGAGAGAAAAAAAATCACTTGCCTCTGCCGGGAATTAAACCCTGCCATTCAGGCCGTAATCTGTCGCTATACCGACTGAGATAGCCCTTAATATACGAAATCGAATAAGATAAAATAAATTTAATTCGAGAAAAATAAATCGACTTCTCACTCTTGTGCAGTATCTTTTCGATTTATCCGGGCATTGTTCACAAATACCCTCATTCAGTCTGGTCAAGTTTCCTCCTCCAGAGATAGTTACAGGGAAATCCTTTCAGACTCCTCCTTATGTCACGAACAGCAAACAACCCCTAACCACTTCCCACGTACGAATCTTTACTGTGTACTCTCTTCTTCTCTCGTTTCCCTCTTTCCTTGATGTTTATTTTGCTCTGATGGATTATCATTGATAGTAGCCCCAGAGGAGCTAGGAAAAAAGCAGAGAGAATCGCTATCACTTAAAAGCGTTCCTTCTAGGCTTTATTAATAAAACATTGTTTCCCATTTGGTGGTATATAGAGCACTACAATCTCGTCCAAGTTCGAAGTGCAAAACATTTTCCAACCCACAACAGATCTAACACCTCTGTCGGTACTAAAGTTAAAACAGGAGAATCCCAGTACACGTAATTCATCGGTTCCTTCACTTTGCTTTATTACATATCAACTCTCTTAACCCTTTCAGCGCTTGTCTTTATTTAAATAAATATTCTTCTGTTGTATTCTTTTGAGCCGGGATAGTGCAGTCGGTATAGCGATTGGCTACAAGCTGGACGACCGAGGCGTCGGAGTTCGAGTCCCAGTATGGTCAAGAATTTTCTCTTCTCCACGTCCAGTATTCAGTCAGCAGTACCCAATTACCACAATGATAAGAGTTCTGTCTTCTGGTATATAACGCCGTGTAGTGTGAGCAAAGGCAACTGATGTTTCGGAGGAACATATCGCCTCCATCTTCAGGGTCGAAGAAGAAACCAAGCAAGAAACCAGCATGCTCTGTTTGCTACCTCTTTGTTGCTTGGCTTATTTTTCGATCCTGAAGATGGAGGCGACATGTTCCTCCAAAACATCAGTTGACTTTCATCAGACTACACGGTGTTATATCCCCTGAAGACAGCTGTTCATAATCACCGCTGTGAGAATCTCAGATCCGACAAGAGAATGATTTCTTTGTCATAGAAATCTCCCTCGAGCCATCTGGATTGCAATGCCAGTTGTGACGTTGATATACTTCACCGCAAACATGGCCTACTTCGCTGTCGTGTCCGGAGAAGAGATGCTTTCTTCTCCTGCCGTGGCGATGGTAAGTATCCACAAGAAATCAGATTTTCTGTACCTTAGGTATATACATTAATACATCATTTATTGCTGAAGAAAATGAATTATTACGTGTACAAATCCATTACCTCGGCCATTGTTGAACCAGAAACCAATTGAACTGGGAAGGTTTCACTTAAAACCTGGAGAGTTTATGATCGAAATTAGTGGTGAAACTCAATTCAGATTTTAAAGATCAGCAATGTTACAGAACTATTCACACACAAAAAACGGTTATCTTTTTTTTTCTGATTTTCTCAATGGAAAAATAAGGGGTCGCCTTACACAATATTCGGGCTTACACTGTATTCATCATGTCCAAAAGTATTTTACAACGAACTGTTCTTTCTAAATCGTTTGTACGTCAAGCAGCTTAAAAGAAATGATAATGTTTAATTTGGGCTTTTGAGTTTCACGGATGTGAAAGATTATTTCAACTCAGATTAATGCAAACATTCATCTCTTCTCACGTTTCCTGCTTAAACTCATTTAAAAATATGTAATTCACTTTAACACTCGTCACTTTAGATGCTAACGAATTCTGTTTCTACACAAATAATTTCATTATTTTTTTATAATCTTCGCCAAAATATAAAATTAAACATTAATTATATGGATTCGCATCGACGCGAAATTCGTGCAGCTCAAACCCGCGTTTAGAATTCCCAGTTTTTAAAGTACAAATTCACGAATTATTTGACAGATCTACCGAGCGGGTTGGTGTAGCAGTATCACTCTTATTCGGAATATGCTCGGTTCGTATCTTGGCCGGGACATCGGCTATCCTGAGGGTTTTCGAGGTTTCCCTCCAAGAAAATGCAGATGTAGTACCTCGATTAGGTCACAACGTCTTCTTTCCAAATTATCATTCATCTATCATCCATCATTTCGACGCTCTATTCCGTATTGAGGGGGTGGGTTTCCCCATGCACTTAGACCGGTTAGTGGTCCATTGTGCGTCCCCCTTTAATTTCTACTGTCTCCATACCCTACCAGTACTGGTGCTTACTATCAGCCCCTTACTGCCAGCAAGGTTCCAACCTCCTCTGGCATTGGTATCTAATAGTTAGTCCCTTTCTGTCAGAGAGGTCCCCCCTCCTCTGGCAGTGGTACCTAATACTCCCCCCATCTACCGGAGGAATTGGAAACTACTTGGTCGGGAAATGTTGCCTAATTTTGCTCAGAAGTCTCCTAGAGACATGAGGTCCTTTACGTGACGTAAATCTACGACACGGCACCCACGGCTTAAAGTCCCTCCCGGAGGACTTGTTCCCTGAATTTTTCCGCCCTTAAAAATTCTACGACCTCCGCCGGGTTTTTGAACCCGCGTACTACGAGTCACGAGGTGGGAAAGTTACCTCTAGACTACGGAGGCCGCTTCCGACGCTATATAGTCTAGCAAATTGAAATCATCATTAAATATCCCATAACCAAATGCGTTAACAATTTTATTCGTTTGTGAAGAAAAATCATCGGTTTGTGATTGCTAAGAATTGCATTCATATGCTCTCCTTTGTTTCGGACGCAGATGCAAACCCTATTCGCTGTAGTATGCATAGGCATAGAGCGTCATTGTCTACAATACTGGGAGACGTTAGACCAGGTCCGTCCAGTAAATCTCCACACCCCAGTTGACACTTTTATGTGACTTGAACATTTCTAATTGAGGATATGAGCCCCTTAACGAACGTAAACGATCCCGCCCTACTCCATATTTAGACCCAATTGCCAACTCAAATAATTTTACAATCACTTGAGTGTGGACAGTCAAATTCATTTCTGACAGCCCACTCAATAAAGGAGGTCTAAAAATGAATTGACACTGGTACAGATTAATATAACGACGACTTTTATCTTATGCTCTTTTGCTGTTGTATGTCAACGTTTCGCGTGAGTTTATTACCAGTTAACTCTATGAAGCAAAGTATTCGTTGAAACATTAAAAGTCAAAAAATTTCCCATCTTTTATGTATTTATAGCGTGTTTAACGACGCTGTTAATAGCTCACGTTATATAGCGTCTAATGGTAGCCTGTTCAGTGTACAGCGATTCTGATAATATTTAGATGGAAGCTGTCCTAGTCTAATGTGACATGTTAACCCAACATTCGCGTGGAGGAACTTGATGAAAATCACGAAAACCATAAGGATAGCCGGTTTTCTGGCCGAGATTCCAACCGATCACCACCGAAATACCAGTCAAAACGTTGCCGCTGAAACCGATCTGTGCTCATTTTCTCAACTTTTATTAGTAACGAAGGTTTCTTATGACAGCCATATCACTCCTGCTGCCGATCACAGCGGCCACGTGGTCTGAGGCATGAACTGCCATCAATCTCTCTAACACTGGGATCGTGGTTTCGAGTCCCACTGAAGGCATGGATGTCTTTATGTGTTTATTCTGTGTTTGTGTTGGTCTATGTGTAGGTAGAGGCTTTGTGACGGGCTCATCCCCTGTCCAAGGATTCTTAGAGATCAAGAAATTGAAAAACTTGCCAAGGACCAACAAAGGGCTGAAGAGCCATAATAATAATAATTCAGTTTAAGGTCTTTCATTCTGGTCCGTCACACTAACCAACACAAGCATCGCAACACACAGACAAGCAACATCAACTACCGACAGACGGCGCACATCAACAGCATCCCGAAGCAGAAAGATTGGGCCAAGCGGGAAAGAATTCTAGGGATTTTAAGAATTCTTACTTCAAATAACGAAGCATAATTTTACAGAATTAACGACGAATCAAATAAGAAAGCTACTGTGGTGTGTGAAAAACTTTTAGTGAACCGACACTCTGGGTAATTTTGACTATTTGTAATTATTTTAATTAACTGGAACGTGGCTATCTTGGACAAAGTGAAGTTTTGTGTGTTGGTGATTTCTTTTTCTACTATAAATGCCTCTGATGATGGCTCCGTGGTGAGCCGAAACATGTAAGGCAGGTGCTGACGAGGTGGAAAACTTAAAAAAGTGTCACATTTGACGGAAGGAACTTGATTGTTAATAATAATTCAATTCAATTCTTTATTATTTATGTGCTGAGTCAACAGCCGCAAGGCCAATTACAGGCAGAGCATAGGGTAGATACAAGTAATTACATTATAGACAAACACTACATAAAGTCAAAGACAAATTATTGGCAAGCACTGGAGGAAAACACACTAATGCAGACAAGTAAACTAGCAAACAACAATAATGATAATAATTTCATTAACAAAAATCAGTAATGCAGACACATAAACAAACAAATGATAATAATAGCCATAATAATANTGTCACTCCTGCATCATGTTCTGGGTTCAGGAGACTGGCTGTTCTGAGTGAACTTGTCATGGCTTACACAGAGCCTCCAAGATATATGGGGTAGTATTGTTTAATACGGGTCACGACCCCTTCCACATCCTTTTGACTGTTAATAAACAATACACGCAGTATAACTATATAGTATAGAAAGCGTTGTTAAATAGAATAAAAATCTGGAATTTTTCCTTTCGTGCATCCTTTGCACAAAATGTGTGAATGAACAAATAATGGTGAGAACATGTCTGACCGCCTGTTGCTGTAATCTACTATTGGTGATCTATACTAAAATTTGACAGGGTGAATTTGATTTTATTTCATAATTTTCAATATAATCCATATTCTGCATGAAGCTCAAATAAAATTGTATCAATTTTCAAAAAAATAAGTGGTATGTAACATGAAGGTCCTTATCTTCTGTCAACTTTTATTTGAGAAAGGTTTCACTGTGAAAATACAAGTCAAAATTGACTAAGCTATGGACTGGTAAACTGTGGTTCAATTCCTGTCAGAGTAACTTTTTTCTCTTTGCAACCATCTCTGGGGCCAACCCAGTGAGTTCCACAGACCCTTTTACAGGGAATAAACAAGGCCGTGCATAAAAGTGATCACTTCCATCTATAGTCAAATTCAGTGGAGCTATACCTCCATTCTCCCATAGTTTAATAAATATAATGACAGTTTTATTTCACTTTAGAAGAAAGAATGATTTCCAACCCCTATGTACGAGGGGGGACCCAAAAATAACCGGAAACGACCTGTTGCGCGCGCATGCTTTGTAGTTACGAGTTGTGCTGCTAGGTGGTGTTAGCTGGGGGTCTCCTGCCACTGTTAGTGAGCTGGCGTCATTCTGAGTTAAGTGGTTTGTCTGTGGTGCTCTGNGAAGGTTTGCACATGAGACGGGTGTCTGCAAAATTTGTTCCTTGCTTGCTCGGAGATGACCAAAGAGAAAACCGCGTGAATGTTTGCCGCGACTTGAAGAGTGAAGTGCAGTTTTCCCTAACAGAAAGCAAAATTTCACGCACACTCTTTGTTCCTTCTGGTCAGCCATCTCACTAATCGCCAAAGGGTTGAAACAGGAACGCACACAACAGAGCACCACAGACAAACCACTTAACTCAGACTGACGCCAGCTCACTAACAGTCGCGGGAGACCCCCAGCTAACACCATCTAGCAGCACAACTCGTAACTACAAAGCATGCGCGCACAACAGGTCGTTTCCGGTTATTTTTGGGTCCCCCTTCGTATGTAGTGTGATTAGCCTTCCAATAAACGAACATCAAGAACCATGAAACATGCAGTTGGAAGCGGAGTAACTGGAAAATATGTGTCTCTCAAATTGGAGTACACACTTCTACTCTTGTTAACATTTGAATTCTTCTAGACTTTTGGCAATAAGATGTTCGGTGAACTCCGCTGGGCAGTTCCAGTGTTTGTGGCATTATCCACATTTGGCGGTGTGAATGGAATTCTCTTCACATCAGGTCGTCTGTTCTTGTGTGGTGCTCAGGAGGGACATCTACCGTCTTTCTTCTCATTCATTCACATACGCAACTTCACACCAGTACCTTCCCTCATATTCACTGTAAGTAAACTTATCTCCATACTTAATTTCGTAATTAAGCACTATGCTGTGAAGGCATGTGAAGGAGTGGTAAGTGGCTACAGTAAAGTTATTCCTGCGTCCAAGTACCACATTTAAGCATATAGGGGGTAAGAAGGCAAGATTATTTGCATTCTATACCTCACACCGTGACAGATGCACATAGCTAGATGAACTATTCATGAGTTAGCCCTGCCTTCAGAAATATCTGGTATAGTAGCATGAAAATTACATAATGAGGGGTTTCATAATTTGTAGTTTTACTTGTCTATTAATCGAACACCTCTGTGGTCAGTGGTCAGAGTTCCTGCCAACAGATCAAGGGGTCCCAGGCTCGATTCCCGGCGCTACCAGATTTTCTGAGAAGTACTGGGTCTGGAACGGGGTCCACTCAGCCTCGTGAGGATACTTGAGCAGCTATTTCAAGGAAATAGCAGCTCTGGTTTAGAAAACTGAGATTAACTGCCGTGGGGATCTGCTGTGCTGACCACGTGACACTCTCTATCCGCAAAAGTTGGCACCAACTTCACTGACAAGCAGTAGTCGCTCAGTCAGTATAGTTCACTTGCAGACTACAGGCCACGGAGTTTGTTTGTTACCTGTCTATTAATATATTTCAGTTTAGATATTCATGCCCAAAGCATTACAACTTGTCTGATTGTGTTTGCAGTGTCTGATGTCTCTAGTTATGCTGTGTAGCAGTGACGTGTTTGAACTGATCAACTACTTCAGCCTCATCCTGTGGCTCTCAGTAGCGGCATGCATCGTGGGATTACTGTACCTCCGTTACAGTAAACCTAACATTCCACGTCCAATCCGGGTCCATCTAGCACTGCCTATTTCATTTCTAATTTGCTGTATCTTTTTGATATGTATACCAGCAGTGGTAGAGCCAGTAAATACAGGTAAGGATACCTATATAGACAGTGTCTGAGAAATGACAGATTACCGTGTTTATGGTCAACTTAATTACACCGATTATATGTGACTGCTAACACAACAAACAAATACAAATTTAAACATCGCATCAGTGTCATGTTGTTATACTTCAGATGTTTTTCAAACACCAGCAGCATGTCTGTCACTGAGTTCTGAATGAAGATGGCATTTACACAGCTAAAGCCAGTGCTTCTTTTGTGGAAATGAAGGTGTCAGTACTTATGTGTGTATCCCCCTTCAGTTTTCGAGCCAGCTGCTCAGTTTCTATGAAATCTAAATTTAACATTATGCCAACTGCATCAATATGCGAGAACCCCCCCCAAAAAACACACACACACAATTTACTTGTGATAACAGAGTTTTCACTATACTAAAAAACAAATGAAGGAAAGGTACTGCATACCATCACACTACTAGCAAGAAGAGAACCAAAGCAAAACTATGAATGTGAAGTATAAAATTATGTTAACATTTCAAGGACAATTTATTTTTATGAATATGTGATGCCATGCTAGATATTTGCAGGCCTACAAAAATGATTATGCCTAAGCAACACTAAGAAATGTAATAAGGATTTTTTTTTAATTTGCTGCACCTAAAAATAAAACAATTGCAGTGTTTATACCGTTCATATCGGAAGTCTTTGAAACATGGAACAGCAAGAAGAAATTAAGTCATGGATTTTACCACACATTTATGCAACTTGGTGCCATCTAATAAAAAAAGTTCAAACTTTCTAATATGAAAGAGTAGCCAGAAGATAGCAGAAGGTAATGTTTTGAATTTTGCTGTACATTATAACAGAGGAACAGTTTTTTAATATCGAGTGCAACTGTGTTGTGGCTGCAAATGAACTGATAACAGTTCTAGATTTTTGTTTCAGAAAGCAAAAATTACAGGTTATGGAAGGTGAATGTTCTTTTATTTCAGGAATCGGGCTTGCAATTACTCTGACTGGAGTACCAGTATATTACATATTTATAAAATGGAAGAACAAGTCAAAAGCATACGACACAGTTTTCAGTAAGTACAAACTCTTTATTTTGGTTTCTTACAGTGTGCATTTGATTAATTTTGTACAATGAATAGTTATAATGTAAATTCAAATTTAACAAAATATTTATGTGTTACATAATATATTGTGGTGTGATAAAGAAACTTTATTTCAGTCAATAAAAGTTTCCAGTTTTTGTTACATTCATGATAAATTTTATAATGATAACATTTTCAACATAAAATTTACCCTTTTGGGCAGACTGGAGATAACACTGTCAGTTGAAAATATTTGTTTTAAACTGTAATAATTGTAAACTTGTTGCTATTTTGCATTGCCAAATGTTCAAATTAATGCCACTGATCACAACATGTTAGTGAACAATTTATCCAAAGTCTCATATGTTATTAGAAACTCCAATCTCAAAAGTATGAAGGTAGAAAGTTTCAAAATGTGGCTCATGGTAAAGCAGTTTCCATGAATGTAAAGAAATGCTCTGCCACAATTTAATTATGGTGTTAGTGTGCCATTCTTACCATCAAAATTATTATCTGTTGGTTATTGCCCAAATGATACAACTTTCCTTGTATTGTCTTTGTGTGTGTTTGTTTTCTTTGTCCCTTTACCCATCCTTGCTGTATAATTGGCCTTTGGGCTGTTCACAGTAAGTACATGAACAAATAAATAACTGAACTGAAAATAAAACATCCGTTGTACATTTCATATCAGTACTGCAAAACATGGACACTACTCTTGAACTTCTTTTGTCAGTGTAAATTGCAGTATCTGTTAAATATCATTCTCACTCAGTTTCAAATATTCAAATGCCATTGGACTTATTCCAGGGGAGGTACAGTGCATATGTATTTATTGCTAGATTTTTAATCATATATGGAATGTGAACTTACTATGTATGCAGCATGCAGTGAGAAGACTCATTATGTATAATGAACTGTAAGACTGGTGAGGAAGTAGCCATACCCTATTTCAGGATACAATAGTGTATTTGAGAAAAGCCTGGATAGCACAGTTGGTATAGCAACTGTGTTACAGGCTGGATGGCTGAGGGGTCAGAGTTTGAGTCCTGGTAGGGTCAAGAATTTTCTCTTCTCAATGTCATCCAGGCCAGTTCTGGGGTCCAACCAGCCTCCTTTCCAATGGGTACCAGGGGTAAAGTGGCCAGGGCATAAAGTTGACCACTTACCTTCAATTAGTCCCCCCCCCCAGATCAAGAAAACATTGATGTATATCCAGTCCCCCATACAGCAGCCTCCATAGTCTAGGGGTAACGTTCCCACCTCGTGACTCAAGGTATGTGCGTTCAAACCCGGCAGAGGTAGTGGAATTTTTAAGGGTGGAAAAATTCAGGGAACAAGTCCTCTGGGAGGGACTTTAAGCCGTGGGTCCTGTGTTGTAGCTTTATGGCACGTAAAAGAACCTCATGTCTCAAGGGGACCTCTGAGCCAAATTCAGGACATTTCCCGCTCAACAGTAGTCTCTAACACCTCTGATAGATGGGGGAAGCATTGAGATACTGCTGAGACAGTAGAGGCTGAACTCGCTGGCTGAGTCGGGACTGATGGCACGCACCAGTACCGGTAGGGTATAGAGACTGGTAGAATACCACAGGGGGACGCACAATGGACCAATATCTGGTCTAAGTGCATGGGGAAACCCACCCTCTCCAATGACAACAGCCCCCCATACACCTTCATGGCATAGTGCTTAATTAGTTAAGCACAGGGACAGCTTTACCTTTACTTACCAGCATGTTCTGAGTGATGGAAGAAAGAAAATATTACTGTCACGATAGGTGGTATGCTGACCAATACATGAGCTGCATACATTCTGTGGCATAACTATTCCAACTTGCCCAGTCCCATTACAGTTCCATGGCAAAAATTCTGATTTATTTGTTTTGTTAACTGTACAGTTTGACCCAAAACTGTTGCAAATGACTGACTGAATACAAATTCCCTCCCATTGCTTGTTACAGATATTAACCAATTAGAATGTTGAGAACTTCAGGTGCACCCCTCAGACGTCAATTAATGCAAATTATGAACACAATGTTGTGTGTTCTGTAACTCCTCTTTTTATGGGCATTCAATTGATAGAATTTTTATATTAAAACATTTTAAAATGTAATAATTAATTTTGGTTTGTGTAATGTATTTCTGAAAATATGCCAACATGTTACTCATTACCTTAAAACAGAAGTAACCATTAACTCCTCAGCCATGAACTTTTTGCTATGACTACGTCAGTCTTTGTTTATATAAAATAATGATACTTCACTTTCCTTCACACTGTATGTTTTATTTATAGCAATACTGTTAACTTATATAATTTTTTGCTGTCTGCTGTAATAAAGTACATGTAAGTGTAATATAATTTACCTTCCATTATTATTACTTGTACATTATTTTAGACCACTTCTGTGGTCTAGTGGTCAGAGTTCCTGGCTACAGATCCAGAGGTCCGGGTTCGATTCATGGCGCTACCAGACTTTCTGAGAAGTAGTGCTTTTAGAAAGGGGTCCACTCAGCCTCATGACGATAATTGAGGAGCTACTTGAATGGAAAAGTAGTGGCTCCAGCCTAGAAAACCGAGATTAATGGCCATGGGGATTCATTGCACTGACCAAACAACACCTTCTATCTGCTAAATTTGGCACTAACTTCACTGACAAGCAGCGGTCGCTTGGTTGGTATAGTTCGCTTGCAGACTAAACCATGGAGGTTTCTTTTTAATAATTATCGCAATTAAATTAATCAGAAATTCATCAAACAGTTAATGTATTTGTATGTACAAACATGCAACCCTGTTCGTTGAAAAAATGTGTATTTAACATGGGAATTAATATACATAACAGCTTGCTACCTGAATTAAAAAGGATAATTTTAAAGCTTTTAAAAATGCATTGAAGTTATTACAAAACTGGTTTTATTCTCTGCGGGAGTTTTTTAGTAACAGTGATGGATGGTAGTTTGGTGGCTCAGGTTGGTTCTGATGTGTATAGATGGTGTAAGTGTATGTGTTGATTTATATTGGATTGTTGGGGGATATCATCCTCAGTTGCCAACTTCAGCAGGGGGACAATCCCAAGATCACTGAATTGCTCTTGGTCTTGTGTATCATTTTGTACATTTTTAAGAGTTGCTGAGTTGTAGTGTTTTAGATGGTTTAAACTGACTTGTCCAGTTGTACTTGTGTAACAGTTTATGGATGTAAATAAATCTACTCCAGTATTCATGTGTGTGTCCGTTTCAGATAAGGTCACATTTGCATTGCAAACTCTGCTGGAAGTGGTTTCACCAGAAGAGGAAGAGAGATTACTTGGACCTACAGAAACTTAGAATTCAATTTCATACTCTGTAGAAACTGCAACATTCCATGTCAACTGGTCCAGATTTAAGAGCACATTTACCTAAGATTATGCCCAGAACCCACAGTTCATTCTCTGCTCGAAGCATCAAATTGGCAAGTCTCAACACATGGGATATTTGCTGTGCATAAATGTATGTTCTTAAGAGTATATAATGGACCACAAAGACAAAACAACTCTGTCCAGTGTGACTAATGGAGTTTTTATTACTTGAAATCTCAAAGCCCTTACATGTTTCGGTCCTTATAGACCATCAGAGTGAACATCGATACTTTGTTTTTTGGAAACTACTATCACAATGGGTGTTTTGGGTGTTAAAACACATATACATACAATGTTTGTAATGCACAATATATACAAAATCCAACTTTTCCACAACTACAGCAGCTTTCTTGGTAGTTAGTTATTTAGTTATTTAGAGAGGGTGGGTTTCCCCATGCACCGCGACCAGTTTGATCTATTGTGCTTCCCTCTATGATATTCTACCGGTCTCTTTACCCTACCAATAAATGGTGCGTACCATCAGTCCCGCCGAGCAAGCGAGTTTGGCCACTTGCTTAGCGGTGTCTATAATGCTTCCCCCATCTATCAGAGGCCTTAGAGACTGTTGTTGGGTGGGAAACGTCCTGGAATTTGGCTCAGTGATCCCCTTTGGGGATATGAGGTTCTTTTACATGCCGTAAAGTTACGACACAGGACACACAGCTTAAAGTCCATCCCAGAGGACTTGTTCCCTGAATTTTTCCGCCCTTAAAAATTCGATGACCTCCTCCAGGTATTTGAACCTGCGTACCAANCATACAATGTTTGTAATGCACAATATATACAAAATCTAACTTTTTCACAACTACAGGAGCTTTCTTGGTATATTAAAGTTTTTTAAAACTTTGTTATTTAAGTTAAAATTTATAAACCAAGTAGGTTCATGTCCCTTCTCAAACACAGGACGATACCAAGAATCTCCTTCTCAAGATAGACAGGCGGCACAAGTTCAGCCCCCATCAAGAAAGACGATAGGAGAAGGGACACGAACCTACTTGGTTTATAAATTTTAACTTAAATAACAAAGTTTTAAAAAACTTTAATATACCAAGAAAGCTCCTGTAGTTGTGAAAAAGTTAGATTTTGTATATATTGTGCATTACAAACATTGTATGTATATGTGTTTTAACATTCAAAACCCCCATTTTGATAGTAGTTTCCAAAAAAAAAGTATTGATGTTCCCTCTGATGATGGTCTGTAAGGACCGAAACATGTAAAGGCGTTGAGATTTCAAGCAGTAAAAACTCCGTTAGTCACACTGGACGGAGTTGTAATTTCTTAGTGTGACGGACCAGAATGAAACAAATAAAAAAAAGTATATAATGGACTTTATGTATTGTAAATTACCAATAAGTAATGTACATTGTACTGCAAAATGAATTGTATGACAATCTACTGAAAGGGCACAACAGTATTATATAGATACCTACACTGAAAATTTGCTTTCGTAAAAGAGTGTAAAGTAACTACAAACATTATCACTATGTACTGATCAGTATATTTTATAATGAAATATATCATGTACATTTTGTGGAACAAATATACTCAATACCAATAATAAATGTTACAAATAAATAGCAAATGAATACCTGTTTATGGTTTATTTAATTATGCTAATAATATATATCATACAGCACTGAATGGTACAATGGAAAGATGGTGAAGGAATAAGTCTTTCTCAAGGTATATCCCAGAAATTCCCTAGAAGGATAGAGGAAAGCCACAAAAAACCTGTGACATTAGTATGATTCAAACCGAGCACATCCCGGACACAAGTTACAAGTGTGACAGCTTAAGCCAACTTGTGGGGTACCTCATATGATTTTGCTGGTAAGCTGCTTCCCTTACATAATCACCAACTGTAAAATGTTTTCAGATTAATCTGTTGGCCATTATGGACAGAAAAGGTTTTGGCATGTAGAAAAGTGACTTGTAATTTACAGACTGTTCTGATAAATGTATAGTGAGTGCTTGAACTTCAGAGTTTTCATGGATGCGAGAAAAAAAAAATTAATACACTGAATATTCTTCCATTTCTTTCCACTTCTGTCTTGTTAAAACCATTACTCATTTTCGTCTGTAGCAACACATAGGGTTCATCACAGGAGTATTTATTTCCACACAGTGTCCACTGTATGGATAAAAGATAATACATTGTTTTGGCAACAGTCAGTCCCTGAAACACTATGTATTTTTTCAAGCCTGATAACAGATATATATGTTGCTGTCTCATCACCAAAATGAAGGGAAAAATCATAACATAAAAATAGCTAACATAACCTTTGAAAATGTGGCACAGTTCAAATACTTTGGAACATTGCATAAAAATCTGATTCAGAAGGAAATTAAGAGGAGACTGAATTTGGGTAATGCTTGCTACCATTCAGTCTAGAACCTTTCTTCTTCTTGTCTGCTCTCTAAAAACATAAAAATTAGAATATACAGAACTACAATTTTGCCTGTGTTTCTGTATGGGTGTGAAACTTGGTCTCTTGACATTACGGGAGGAAGAGAGACTGAGGGTGTTTGAGAATAGGGTGTTGAGGAGAATATCTGGTTGGAGGAAACGCCATAATGAGGAGCTTCATTTGTACTCGTCACCAAGTATAATTAGAATGATGAAGTCAAGGTCGATGAGATGGACAGGGAATGTAGCACGAATGTAGGATAAGAGGAATACATATAGGATTTTGGTGGGAAAGCCAGAAGGAAAGAGACCACTACAAAGACCTAGATGTAGGTGGGTGGATAATATTAAAATGGATCTAAGGATGGAGTGGATTGAACTGGCTCAGAACAATTTTCATTTTAAAAGGGTAATCTTGTCCCTGGCCTTAATTACCATGCCATGAAGATGTATAGGGGAGTGGAGGTACAGCTCCAGTATTCTTAAATTCAGCACTAGATGGAGGTGAGTGGATGGCTTCATGCCCCTTCCACATTACCTTCAGGGAAACAGCCCCAAGTACCCACTATACAGAAAGCTGAGTGGGCCGCAGGGCCAGTCTGGATGTTGTCTGGATCTTGCCCCTCCTTGAAATAGAACCTCGATTTCGTGGTCATCCAGGCTCTAGCCTAGTCACTATACCAACTGAGCTAGCCCACATCCAGAATTTTAAGTACAGGATTCCAGAAACTGTATCATGACATGCCCTCATGGAACCAGTTATTAATAACCCACATACTGCATTTCCACTCCAATGCCACTGTGCCTTGTCCACTGACAAAATCATATGCAAAAAGTCGCTGCTACATTAGGTCACGTTTGCTTAGTAGCTTCATATTTTTACAGTGGATATTAATCTTTAAGTACACTGTATCGATGATACAGTTTGATGAGAAATAAGTCTGTAGCTGTTTGTGTACTTTTACCCACACATACATATAAATTATATTTTGTCTGGTAATGACAATGACTCCAATATTGATTCAAACGACTGAAATGTTTGTAGCACTGGGTTATCACAATCATCATTCACCTGTAACTCTGATGATCCTTCTGAAGATGCGTGCTGGAGATTGTCTGCATCATCTGTGATTGTCTCATGACACAGGAGGACTTTGTCTTTATTACTGTTATCCAACACTACACTTAACGTCTCTTCGTTCCCATCTACTTGTGGCATATCTTTGCTCAGAATGTCTAATGTGTTTGTCGAGTCTTCATTTAAGACTAATTCTTGGACAACATCTTTACTTAGAACATCCAGTTCAGTGCCAGCGCCATCATCTGCAAAAAGTTCCTGTATCACATTATTATTAAGCACATCTAATGTCGAATCTTCCTTATGGTTAGTTAGTGCCTGCAGTTGTTCATTGATGAGACTCCCCACTGTTGCATTCAATGCACTTGAATCATCTGCACCGCCGAGCGGAATTTCGCCTCTGTTGAAGCCATCCACGATGGCTGTTAGCTGCTGTATCCTTGAGTCATTGATATTATTGAACATAACTGTGAAACTATCCCCTGACACTAACTTACTGTCACAGGTTTTTGAATTCTTTAGCAAGTTCTCATTATTTGTGATGTCCAATGGAATATTTTGCATATCATCTCTATGTGAAAGTTTTGGATTCAAGCTACGGCTAGCAGGAAGGGTTTCTGTTCGAAGTAACTGCTGCTGATGTGAGCTATTGTCCACACTTATTGTTTTCAATGTTGCATTTAGGTTAGGTCTCTCGTTACCTATCTGTACAGCATCATTTTGTTTAACAACGACATCAGGAACATGAAGGCTATTCACAGAGTTAAAACTTAATGGTACTAATGGGCATTTCTCATTTGCTGGAACAAAAACGGTGTTCAAATTATCTAACAAAAGTACTGCTCCTTCTTCATTAAAAAGCAGCGAGCCCCTTTGGAAATTATTCAGTGATGTCTCGTCCACATCCCTGGAAGTGACGAGCTCTGGTAGTCGAGTATTTAAACCTGTAATTATGAATGTTGCATTTCCATTTGTACCTTCTTGCAACAGCTGAAGACCATTGACAATGACAGTATTTCCTTCAGATGGTTTATTCTCCCTTCTACTGTTGACTAACTGAACTTCTTGCAGTTGTTGTGTCTCCATACTAAATTGTTCTGAATTCTTAACACAGTTAGTAGCAGTCACAGCTTCTGGTCCTTGTTTCATGTTTTCTGACATATTTACATTTGAATTATTTATTGTTTTTAACGTAGGCATACGATGTTTCCTCCTCTGGAGATTCAACAGTTTTTCATCACCATTGGGATGGTGTTTCTTGAAATGGATTTTGAGCTTATCAAGACGCATGGTTTGATACAAACACAAAGGGCAGTGCTCTAAGAATTCTTCTGCTACTGCATCATGTTTAACAGCATGTCGGCGCAAGTTCTTAGACTGAGAGTAGGACTGACCACACACTTCACATTGGTAGGGTTTCTCTTTATTGTGCGTCATGAGATGCGACACATAGTTTTGTTTCCTTGCAGATTTGAAGTTACATTCTGCATGTGGACAAATGAACATGTTACTGGTATGCATGAGTGTGTGCGCCCTGAATGTACTTTGGTATGCCGTGCTAAAGCCACATTCAGAACACAAGAGTCTCTTTTCTGGCGTATGCACAGCCATATGATTCTGTAAACCTTGCTTCCACTTGAATGCTCTATTACAAAGTGAACATGAAAATGGCATTTCTGTTGAATGTTTAGGAGTGTGAGTATTTAATGATGCTCGTGTCTGAAACCTCACATTGCAAATACTGCAAAAAAATGGTTTAGGGTGATTGTGCTGCTTAAGATGATCTTTCAATTTCTCAGGAGTTTCTGCCTCAAAGAGGCATAAAGAACAAACAATTTCTTGATGATCTGCTTCCAGAAGATGTTTTATCAATTCAAATGCTTTGTAGCTAGAATATCTGCAAGCATAGCATGTGTGTAACCTTCCACGATGTGTTTCACGATGTTGGCGTAATAATATGGAGCTTGAAAATTTCAGTTCACAAATGTGGCACATATACGGGTCATCGGCAGATTTAAAACTATCCACAGTGTTGTTTGAAACTAAACAATCAACCTTCTCATTGTTTGCAGTACTAACTACAGCACTAACACCCTCATCCAATCTACTAGTCTGATTTGTTAATACAACAGGTTCACTTTTAGATCCATCAACATTTTTTCTAGTATCATTTGTTTCACTGCCCTTTTGGGTACCACTTAAATCTTCTTCATTATGTTTACCCTCGTCATTATTCACAACATTTACACAACGTTCATCGTCGGTAGGTCCTGCATCCTTCTTCAACTTCTTGGGGAATGGCTTCTTCCTCAGAATTTCTGGTTTCCTCTTCTGTGATGCATACTTTTCATTGTATTTATCACAGATCAACAATAACTCTGATACCTCAAGAACCGTACTTATTGACTTGACATGATCAACATGTTCTTTCTGAATTTGTATCTTCCCTAAATACATAAAATCCAAGACTTTTGCAGTACAATCTGAACAACCCATTTTTCTTCTCCCATAACCTGAGTCTAGGAGAGGAAGATTCAAATGCAAAGGATTTCTTAATGACCAATGCTCCAGAATATCTTTCTGTATAGAGTCATTTACGTGACTACTCTTACTGTTTTCAAAATCTGCAAAAGCGTGCGTTCCTTCCGATGTTGACATGAATATGTCATTAAAATAGGGACTAAAGGAGGCCAATACACAAGAATGTACAGAAAACTTAACATCTCCGACATTTAATACTACATCACAAAGTCTTCCGGTGCGTCTTTGAGAATACAAACATGAAAGAAGTTTGTTTGGCAGATTTTGGTTAACCGACACAGAATCGTCACTTTTCTTATTCGCCATGCTTGCACAATTGGTACGATTGGTACCATTGCTATCACGGATTACTGAATTGATATCGCGGATCACTGAGAAGTTATAGCGAGTAACTACATACACTCCATGGATTGTAGAGTGTAATTTATTTATTTATTCATTTATTTCGTCTCTATAGATCATTGTTACATAATATGGGACTAGTCAGTTACTGTACATTGGCTGATTACAATAAGAGAATAAAGTTACAATACTTAAAATTGTTTACAATAGGCTACAGTAGATTACAATAGTTAAGATTTCATACAGTGTGAGGTGGAATCCATATTAGGTCCCGTCGCCACGTCCGCTTCCATATGTCCTATTGTACCCGTACTGGTGATAATGCTTATGGAGAATTTGATGGAATGGGAATTGGCAGGGGAAACCGAAGTACTCGGGAAAAACCTGCCTCAGCGCGACTTTGTCCATCACAAATCCCACTTGACTAGAACCGAAGGGGTGCGAAGCCAGCGACTAACCGCTTGAGCTATGGCGCGGCCTTTGAGATAATATTGGTGAATTTGGCGATAGCACTGGTATAACGTTTCACTGTAGACCGCTGTAGACTCTACACTGCAACATCTCATTACATCAGTTCTCCCTTCTTGGTGCAGCTTCTTGGTATCTGCAACCTCTCCAAAGTAGCCCATTCAGGTACATCTCCGACTGTGTTATCTTGGTTGCTGGAAAAAAGCAAGGAAAACTGCGCAATAGGGATTCCCAAAACCGATTATTCATGAATTATGTAATTATAATTGATTAGTGTTTGTCTCACATAAGAGAAACTCATCCACTTTATAAAAACAATGATCGAGTAGATAAGTTTTCAAAGCGTTTTTGAACTTACATAGTACTGCTATTTCTTTAATACAGGGTGTCCCAGGAGGAATGGACCAAACTTCGGGAGGGTGTTCCTTATGTTAAAGTATGCCGATATAACCCAAAACACCTATGTCCAAAGTTGAACGGTTACGGAGATAATGGCCAAAGAAGTGTGAAACTTTGACCGGTGTTACACACTTGTTGATTACAAAATACGTATTAAAACTGGCAGGAATATGTGGTTTCTGTAATGTTAATAATGCACGTAACATCAAACTAACTTGTGAGTGACATGAAACCATAAAATTGAAGTACAAAATACTCGCTCGCCATGTCATAATTGTCCTTAGGTTTCCAAGCATTATACATGACACATGACTGGCAGGCGCTGACGTAACATGGCTGACTGAGCATTCTGGTATAAGCCGACTACATAACTGCATTAAACGTATCTTTACGGAAAATCTCTTTTGGAATTTTGTTTCCATTATCTCATGTGGATTATTATGGGACCACGTATGCACATTTCGTTTTATTTACACCGTTCCGGGTAAAAGACGCCTCCCCACTGAATAAAATGACGCTTAACAGTTCGGGATGAGCTTTTATCCAGTGGCACAGATCCATACACTCTGCATGGTCGCCTGGTTCCAGATGTTGTACCCTTTGATCATGGTAAGGATACAACTCTTCATCATGTAAAGTTCGTCACACCTGCATACGTGATACGCCGATGCGAGAGGCCATTCTACGAGTGGACAGACGCGGACTTCTCTGAACCATCTCAAGGATATTCTCTCGTGTGTTTATCATTCGTACATCCTCCCTTTCAGAGTGCACAGAAACACTCGGAAGAGAACCAGTATCGCGCAATGTCTGGTGAATTCGCGTATATACACTTCGAGATGGAATCCTTCGATCGGGAAAACGCCTTTGGTATTCTTCAACAGCAGCACGTGCATTGCCACCGAAAAATCCACACACAAAATGCATATCACAATATTCCACGTGTGAAAACACAAGAGGCATTTCAGCAACTCCGCACAACTAATTTACCAACCATTCACGACCCGGCCGCAACGTACTCTGTAGGTAGCGCATGAGCTTACGGCTAGTGTGAATCACCACACTCAATTACAAACATAGATAAGACGTCTCAGCTGACAGGTATAGTGCGTGGACACGCCAGAAGACCACACTTTTCTCGGGCCATTATCTCCATAACCGTTCAACTTTGGACATAAGTGTTTTGGATTATGTCGGCATACTTTAACATAAGAAACACCCTCACGAAATTTGGCACATTCCTCCTGCGACATTCTGTATATCGTGGCAGATGATTTAGCAGTCGAAGTCCTACATTGTTAAAGTTGTTCTTGCATAGACTTGTATTACATGGGACGATGTGCAAGTCATCTTTTTCCCTTGTGTTGTATGAGTGTAATCCTGAGTTGGTTGTGAAATCATTCAAATTGGATTTTATGTATATTAGAGTTTCATTTACGTGTATGTACAAAGATGGTAGAGGTAATATATGTAATGATTTGAAAATTAGTTTACAACTAGTCGTTTCTGGGACCTGGGTCATAGCTCTTATAGCTCTCTTCTGTAATTTAAAGATCAATTTTGCATTTACTGAGTTGCCCCAAAATATCAATCCATATGACAACAAAGATTGGAAATGAGCATAATATAACGTGCGGACAGTCTCTAGTCCAGTTACTCTTCTAACTATCCTTAGGCCAAAGCATGCTTTACATAAGTTGTTCGCTAGCTTTTGCGTATGCATAGTCCATCTTAGATGCTTATCTAGCCAGACTCCCAGAAATTTTGAGTGATCTGTGTAGTTCATAACAGTTTCATAAATCTTTATTGGAGGGCATTCAAGTTGTAGTTTTTGAGGATGATGCTATTGCTATTGTTTTCTCTTTATTAATAGTTAATCGATTCCTCTCAAACTACTCTGTGATTTTGTTTATTGTTTCATTTGTTTTCCTTTGAATTTCGTTAGCGCTATTTCCTGCTATAAAAATGCTGGTATCATCGGCAAAGAACGTAGGTTTCCCATGTTCTATGCTGGCTTCCAGGTCGTTTATGTATAACAAAAACAACACTGGTCCCAGAACAGAATCTTGTGGGACGCCATAGCTGATGGGTCTCTTTCGGGATAGGTGTAATTAATATTACGATTAGTTTTTTGCATCTGTATGTAATTTCTATCGCTTGTTTTCTGTTTTCTAACTATGTTTGGAACCACCTTAGTGTAACCCCTCGTATTCCCATTCTTTCCATCTTACTTAGCAATATATCATGATCTACGAGGTCGAACGCTTTTGATAAATCCAAAAATATCCCTATACTCATTTCTTTTTCATCTAGTGCTTTGTAAACCGTTTTTTGTAAATTCTGTGATTGTTGTATGTGTTGATTTTCCTTTGCAGAATCCATGCTGTTTAATGTTGATTATGCTGTACTTATTTATGAATGGTAAAAGTCTATTGTGCATAATTTTTTTGATTATTTTAGAAAAAACCGAAATTAATGACACTGTCTAGAAAACGTGGGAACCTCAATATCTCACAATCCTATGGGCCTCCACGGTCTGTTACATGGATACCTTTACTTTTACACCTCTTATCATTTACGTCCATGAATATACACGTTGTTTCAATAAAGCATAATACCACCAAAAAGGGACCTACATTTAAAATGCAAAGAATTTTCATGGAAGGACTCTGGGAAAACATAAAAAAAAAAAACCTGTCGGGATAGCTGGTGTCTTGGTTACAATTCAAATGGAACACATCCCAAATACAAGCACAGTGTGTTACTGCTAGACCAGCCTGCTCAGTAAGAGTTAAAAAGGTAAAATATTTAATAAGTCTGCTAACAGCCTACCCATCCCCTTAATTTTGGTGGAAGGTCCTCCCACCACAATCTCAAAGCAATAAAACAAACATTTCATTACATTACATTTATTTGTTTATACATGTAAACTACATTTAACCTTTTTAAACTTGTAGAACAGTATAAAAATTAAACATCAATTTGCTAAAATAAAATACAGCAACACAAAAAACTCACACATTGGTAAATCATGTAATGCAGTAGTCAAATATGTCTAAATTAAGGTACACAAAATAGAGCTGAAAGTATACTGACTATGTAAATCTTTGTCATTGACAGACAAACAACAGGAAAAAAACCCGAACACCCACACATATCTATTATTTTTCACTCATTAAATATACAGTGTATTTTCAGAGTATTCATGGAAAAATATAACAAGGAAACTGCACTAATACAAATAGTTTTGAACAGAGCTCCACTTACAGGTATAAAAGAGGATACCATCCTATAGGCATAAGGATTCATGCAATTGATATTAACAGAATGTTTCACTACCGATTTTGACATATACATTCCCCTTTCCCCACACTGTAATCGAGATGGAGATTTTACATACAACACAGTAATGACATGTATCTGTCATTGAATGTGAGGGTTACAATTATTTGACCAAGCATGAACTATTCAAATCTACACAGTCCTTCAAACTTGTCACTGAATTCATCTGAGGTTATTTATACTCTACAGCAGGCATGTCCAACTTCAGACAGGTTGTGATTGACTTTTTAGTGTCAAAACTGCCAGTAATCTACCACCCCCTCCTATCGTCATACCTCGCTTTAAGCAAAATTATCGGTAAAGATAACACGACACATGTTTATTGTAAAAGCAACAAACATTGAAAGTACAGACTACTTTAACACGTATTTTCCCTTCAAAATCTGAATATAATCATATTATTTTACAAGTGAATTTACATGCTTTTCACATATAATTTCCTTATAGGCCTATGATATTCACCAAAAATCGTCCTGGGACCACGATCGACACGTTGGACATGCCTGCTCTACAGGAATGATTATAACATCAATGACAGCTCGTCGCCATATTGTAAAAATTTGCTTAAGAATGTTTATAAATGTACCAGTATTCATCTAAAATTTATTTACTAATGAAGTTTAACAAGAGTTTAAGATGAATCTGATTTCACGGTTTCCAAGTTTTTGCCCAGAACTTGATGCACAAAGTTCTCTCTGAACATACATACACAGAAAAATTATTTCATAATAATATTTGTGTTCTCAATTCATATCCCTCAGTATTTCCATTCATTAAAAATAAAGCTGATTTCTGACCTATGCATTCCTCAATCTTTACACCATTCCACTATAAATAAATTCATTCTTTATGATTTATCCTATACCTTTTTAACAGTGAATCCATTATTATATGCATATGCAGTTTCCTTTTCATGACATATGCTGTCTTTTGGCTTTTGTACAATTAGGGTAATGAAGTGACTTACAGAAATGGTTACATAATATAACCAAGCAACGAATTACGATATTGTAACTATTGCAAGCTCGATATATGAATGAGATCTTATATTAGTATGACAGTAATTATAAGAAATACTAAAGTGGACTAGAAAACTGTTCCTAATATCAATGAATAAAATTTCTAGTGTTAATTAAAATATTAACACACTAATAATTTTGAAATTATTTATTTTCTTGTACTTGCAGACATTTTAAATAGCAGGGAAAGGCACAGAACATTGTGACATGACATAACAATTGTGGTGCTCTGGAATGCAGCAAATGGAGAAAGACCTGCTACTCAATTTTTGTCCAAAGCCATCAGTGCATCGAACAAAGTTCGACAACCATCCACTTTAATACCACGTCTCTTAAGATCTTCAAGCCTGGCTTCTAAAGGTCGTTTGTCCCTTCCAAGTGACCACCACAATCGGACGCAGAGCTGTAAAAGAGGCACATAAAACTGAAGGAGGTCAGCATCACTGACTGCTTCATATCGCCTAAGTGCAAGATCTGCAAAACGCTCTGCTGACGTGGTGACAGGATCAGTGCTGCAACAAGCAACTAGACGACACAGTGCCAACATTACAGATGGATGCCTGTCTGTGTGAAGTTTATTCAGAAGTCTAAACGAATTCTCTAATAATGGTATAGCTTGGTCATAACGCTGAGCCTCCATCCACTGACGTGCTTCACGCTGTTCACGACCCTGAAGAAATGACAACAGACATGATGATTCTCGCAATCTGTCTTCGGTTATTATATGTTCCAAAAGAGCTTCAAAACCAGCACTACGCTCGGATATCACACCAGGTGCAAAATTACCCAACAGCACTTTTTTAGGGAATGTGACACTTGTCATCAGGGATGGAAATTCACGTCGAAGTGATTCATACAGTTCCAGAAAATCAGAATAACGGCGTTCAATCACAGCAGGATTTGGGTCAGGCTGAATTGCATCCTTCCGTACCATTATAGTGTACGCCTAGAAGTAAATAACAATTAGAATTACATGCACATTGAAAGTGCTGCATCTGAATATAAAATGTGAACCACATTTCATTAACAGGACTAACCACATGCTTCTTCTCGCTGTTGTGATCAACAGTTCGTGCCGACACCACTTCAAATTTCAGAACTGGCCTTCTCATAATTTCACCATTTGTTACATCAACTGGACCAGCAGAATCCTCACCAACAGTGCCTCTTTGAACTTTTGCCCATGATCCTAAAATGTTATAATTTTATTATACATAAATAAATTGTGGCTGTTGGTCCTACAAACAATACAAGAACAGGACTTATCTTACTATCCACATCCTAGAATTCAGCTCTCAGAATTATTTATACATGATCTTTTTCATGTCAGTTTGAAAAGGAAATGGCCTCTCATTTTTATATAAAATAGCTGCCACATTTACTTGTGTAATTGTCCCCCTTGCTGTAAAAGAAGGAAATGAAAGATTATTTTTTGTGTCAAAGAATTGCCTACCTCTACCTCTATTTTCATGTAACAGTCATCATTTGTGTGGTAGTCTCCCACTACCATCCAAATATACTCAATATATGTAATTAATGAACCTAGATTGCTCATGAGGAAAATACTCTGCTACAGTGTCAAAATATAATCTCTCTTATGAAAGAAAATAAAGAGGAGGCTGTCTAAAGAAAGATCAACCGGAAATGTAACAGATGAAGAAGAATGGGAAACATAAAATATGTTACTTCAGCCAGACACATATAAAACATGCTACTTCAGCTATTAGAGTGTATATGGAAATTTTACTGATGTGTGCACCAGCTTGACTGTGAACTTCAGGGACTTCATTGAAGCTGAGTGTTCCTTGGCCCAGACGAGTGTCAGGTTCATCATCTAATGCAAGTTTCTCGAGTTCTTCATTGGCAGTTTCTTGCTTTGAAGTATTACCTGGGTATTGAAAGAACATAATACAGAAACTCAAATTATTTAGTTTAGAGACAATTATGACTAGTCTAATTCCATGACTTTATTCCGGACTGCCTTGAAGAAAATATGACACAAACCATAAGAAACAATTCCCATCACTGTAAGTGATATGTAGTCTGGGAAATCAGTGTTTAGCAAGCTATGACTGATAGGTGTCTGTTTTACATTTACATTTATTTCCACTTCATGGATCCAATCATTGATCTGAAGGTTGCTAAGTTACTATATTCATCAGTTCTGTGTTATTTAAATTTGAAAATAGGAAACAACAAAGATTTCAGTGTGTTCGTGAAATTTCCTCAAAAACAAATTAATGAGAACTGATGGGACACAGTTCCCTGAAAATCTAGTCATTACTATACTGTAATTAAAAAAATTAATGAAAAATCATTCTTAACAGTGATGCTACTTAGTCATCCACTGCTTGGTTTGATGTTGAGCAACTTCACTACTTAATCGCAAACACATTAAACCAACACTTAAGAACTAAATTTAAAGGGCGTTTAAACAAAATTTCTGTCGAGACATTTCATACACAGTGCACAGAATATATATACTGTTATGTTGAAGAAGAACTTTCTATATTTGAAAATGTATGGGAGATTTTATCTGGGGTATTAATGCTTCACGTCCCATTTCATTTGTACTATGAAATATCTGTGTAGGACTGAGGGCTGATGAAATTTTTTATTATAGCCACTACTTACATATTTCCATTGTCTGAAGTGAGTTCTTTTTTTGCTTTTATTGTATGGTCATCTGAAAGAAAAATCAAACTTACTGTATCCTTATACTTTAACACTACTGTGTACTACTACTACTGATGCTGGTGTACCTTTATTTATTAATATCTGGTTTAGTTCATGATTCAGAATTCATTTGCATAGTTTGGGTCCAAAATATCTCAGATAATTCCAAATTTCTACCATATTAATAGCATACAATAAAATCCAAAATAAATTATCACTGAATATTCTTTACACATTGCCTGATTACACTGTAATGAGTTCCAAAGACATGTAAGCTCCAACAAGAAAGCAGGAGTATCTGCTCATCTGTCAAATTCTGCAAATTATACTTTTTCTGTATGGTATGGTAGAGCAAAAGCAAATCCTCCAGACTTATATTTCTAACCACTGCCTGAATTTAGGCAGTACATATTGTTATTAGTATTGAAGTTGCACATGTAGGAATGGGATGTGTCAGAAGTGAAAAGCAGTTTTGGAGGGGGAAGGGGGCTTACTTTCTGACGATGCTGACATACATTAACTCTTACAATGTTATCTCTAGACTTTGGCATCTTCAAGTGTTGCCATACTACGCCACTGATTACAGTTCGGATTTATTCCCAACAGCATGCTATCTTCTTCGATCACTTCACGCGCCTAAATTCTGCCTACATTCATAACACGGCAAAAGGTGTTAATCCTCTGAATTTCTTCAATTAATGTACCCACTGATTTACCTATAATTTTCGTATGCCACACCATATGGATGCTGCACTATTACTGCAAATGTATTAGTAATAACTCACCAGCTCACCAGTCATTTGTGAAAGAATAAGAAGCAATCACAACCTAAGGCAGAGCTTCCACAGTCATCAATATAGTAAAATATTTTATTTGATGGTACGTAACATCACTCAACTACAGTACTTTCAACATTTTTGCCTGTGTAATTTTGTCAATGCGGAATCACCTCTTTCTCGCGAGCTGAAATTCCCGTTTGTATATTTGTGGCGGGGGATGTATATAGGAATATCCCGCTGTGCACTTTCAGGGCAAATTGCACAATCAATAACCGTGTTTTGGAAAACTGTAAAACTTTCCCTATTTTATTTCTGAAAATTCATCGAAGGCCCACAAATATTGGCAATTATAATACTACTGTCATATACTTTTATGACATTCAAGCACTGAACTTCAAAATTAATGCTGAATTGGAGGACTGACGACGCTTATGACACAAGACACACACGACATTCATCCTTTTTTATCGCTCTCTTCGAGAAACCAAAGAGTATTATCGAGAACCACAGTCAAGGTCGTCAAGGTAACTCATATTGTGGGAACATTCAATCGTTACATAGCAGGATGAATCACGAGATCATGAGGATCATGAGCATCTTGAGCTGGTGTTCAGTTTAATGAATTCGGTTATTGACTTATATTTACTCTATTAACTGCTTCTTTTAAAACAGTGTTGCAATGGCTTCGTCTATTTGAGACTCACACAATCCACACAATAGCCTCAAGAGTGATTGAACAACGCCGTTCTCCGTGTTCGTTTGTAGAGATTTTTCCTCTTCGTCTATTGGCAGAAATGAACGAGTTGTTTTATTTATCTATTTATTCAGAATTCTATCATTTGAGACATGTTTGTAGTAAAAAGTATAGAAATATTTGATACAAATAGGGATCGCTATGAAATAAATACTAGACAAAATATGGATATACATATGAGCCAGGTAAATTTGGCGAAATGTGGTAATGGGGTAATTCACATGGCCGTAAGGATTTACAATGTACTACCTAATAAAATTAAAGTAACTTCTAATGATATAAATAAGTTTAAAAACAACTCAAAGGAATATCTTTATTTAAATTCTTTTTATACACTGGATGAATATTTTAAGAGATAATGATCATGCAACTCTATAACTATATAAGATGTTGAGTAGTACAGTAAATGGATAATCATCGTGAATGCACGAAAACCATACATATAATTTAATGTTTTTATATGTTGGATTTGTTGTATATGTTAAAGCTATATGACCAAAATATTCTGTTACTTTTGACGGAAACGTTTATCTTAAATTTTTATTTTAAATGATAATTTTGAGTGTATTGTGCTAGAGAGTAATTGTGTTATGATGTAAACAAACATTGTCTTATATTATAAGTCTTTTTGACAATTGCTTGATAGTATTAGCAAGATAAATTGACACAATTCTGTATGTAAGGCTTTAGCCTACTATAGATGTAATGGAATAAGGAAGAAATAATAATAATAATAATGATTAAGCTGCGTTGACCGGTGTAGACTGTACGCTTTCGATGTTGAATCGCGTTTCGATCTGAGTTTAGTGTCAGGCGTTGGAGGTTGTTTCGTCTACTGCGAACAAGAATGGTTAGACTGATTAGACGTATTTAATTTGATGTGTGCTGTCGAACAGCTGAAGAATCGAAGACAGTGACCAGTATGACTTATACACCCAAAGTAACGATAGATTTTTATGCTAAAAATTGCATAATTTACAGTGTTAGGGTTATGAGGAGTGTTTAAGTGATCAAAATTGTAATTCATTTTATGTATCATGCCATGTGTAACAGAGTCTCATGCCACGGTCACTCCGTTGGGCGACTTTACACCGCCAGCAGCCAGAATTCATGTCCACATAGACCTTGTGGGACCCCTTTCGACATCGGCAGGCTACAAATACTGCCTCACTGCAGTCGATCACTTCACTCGCTGGCCAGAAGCCATCCCAGCCGACACAGTGGCACGCACTCTACTGACCAGCTGGATATCCTGCTTCAGTTGCCCGCTGACCGTCACCACCGAACAGGGACTTCAGTTTGAATCTCAGCTCTTCCACTCCCTGGCCAAGCTCTGTGGCATTCAACTCTCACGGACAACCGCCCACCACCCAGCAGCTAACGGACTCATGGAACGTTTCCACCGGACACTAAGGCAGCCATCATTTTCCAGGCAGACCAAGACAGGACAGAAGCCCTTCCCCTGGTTCTCGGAATCCGCACGGCATTCAGAGAGGACCTGCAGGCATCAGTAGCTCAGCTTGTGTATGGCTAGCCACTCAGAATACCAGGCGAACTGCTAACTCTGACTTCTGATCCAGTGGATCCAGTGCACCTCATCACTGAGCTCCACCAATATATGGCCTGCCTCAGAACAATTCCAGCAATATGCCACACCTCCCTAATTACATTCGTGCACAGTGACCTCGAGAAGTGCGCGCATGTCTTCCTCTGGCAGGACATGACACGCAGAGCGTTGGAACCCCCCTACAGTGGCCCCTACGAGGTCCCCTCACAGAGGGAGAAAATAATGCAAATTCTCGTTCGCATTAAGCCCTTCACCATGTCAACCGATAGGGTAAAGCCTGCCTACACGCTTTACGAGACAGGCCACGGGACCACCACCAAGACCTTCAACCCCACAGCTGACACAATCCACGCCTCGGCTCCTCATGTCGTTCCACCATCGCCCGTAGGACGTACGTTTTCCTGCTGGCTTCAACAGCTGAGCAGCCATCTCCTGGAGAGATGTGGGATGTGAGAACTGCCAACATTCAAGGAAACGTTACAGATACAGCTCAGGTACCATTGCTTAGCAACGGTGAGTAAACAGTTGTTGTTATGTAAGGTCTATAACAATATGTGACTATGGGAAGCACCTACAGTGGATCGAGTGCTAGCCAATCGCAAGCCAGAAACAATTCACTCCCTAGCAGTGGCTGAGTAAACGGCCGGTGCTAGGCAAAGAATGCAACAATACGGACAGTGACATGTTTTCTATAGGTCCTGCTCAAGGTTATATAAGAAGATACACTGAGTGGAAGTTCAGAGTTGCGTTTCAATACAACGTTCAAGATATTACAGACTTCACTGTTGTTATTATATTATTAGTCTTCAGTTCTTCAAACCGAAGTGTGTCTATGTATACTGTGCAACTATAATAAATATAGAACAGTTCAACAAGTGGTTGTCTCTTCATATAACGACAACCCACAGTAAATTCCAACAATGTCAAAACTGATAGGGCAACTTGCATGTCAGAAGTACCTTCCATATCGCAAAATTAAAATATTTACAGCACTATGTACAAATACAATGAACACATTTGAAGTGGTACAAGAAAATAAATTTAACCCACATGTATATAGATGTTATTGCTCTGAGAGAAAAGACTCTTCGAAAATAACCAAAGTGAATCCTGCGGAAATTGGAACTCCAAAGACATTGAAGAAGGGTTAGTAAGTAGGAGCTTTGAGTAACCCATTTCTGTACATTTTGCTTGGAAGCTTGTTGCTTTGCAGTATATGTATGATGTATAACTTTCTTTTTGCTTAATTTCGAAGTATAGTGACCACATATTTGGGCCTACTTGGTTTGTCTCTACAGAATCTGACTAACTTGAGAAGTTGCCATTTGTGCAGCTACTCAAGAACTTCCCAGAATTTTTGTGGAACCTGTAGGTTCATTACCATGTTCACAAGAGCCCTCTACTAGTCCTTGACCTGAGTGAGATCAGTCCAGTACATACCACCCTATACTGTCTCTCTAAGATCCATTTTAATATTATCCACCCACTCATATCTTGGTCTTCCTAGTGATCTCTTTCATTCTGGCTTTCCCACCAGTGTCCTATATGCATTCCTCTTATCCTCCATTCATTCTACATGCTCTGAGCATCTTATCCACGTTGCTTTCATCATTCTAATTATACTTGGGGAAGAGTACATGTTATGAAGCTCCTTATTATGTAGTTTTCTCCAACCTCCTGTCACTCCGTCACTCTTTGGTCCAAATATTCTCCTAAGCACCCAATTCTATAACATCATCGATCTATGCTCTTCCCTTAATGTCAGAGACAAAGTTTCACACCCACACAGAACCACAGGCAAAATTATAGTTTTGTATATTGTGATTTTTTCATTTTTAGACAGCAGCAAGAAGACAGATTTGTCTATCAGATATTCCCTTTTTATATTTCTGAAATCCATGCTGGCTTCACATTTTATATTGTTTAGATTATCCCCATATATTTTCATGATTTGTTTATTCCGTCTTGCAGTGCATACACTTATCTATCTTCTTCTCTCACTTTCACTACATGTTTCGGCATAAGAATGCCATCTTCAGGTGCTACTCAATTCACGTCAAACTATGAACTTAAATCAGTGCAACAGGACGCTAAAATATAACATTGCCCATATATTTTGCTTGGATTATGTAACCACAGCAGTTTTACTTGTTTCCTTTGATCTAATAATTTGGAGCATCCTTTGTCTTACCATGGCTTATGCTTCTTCAGAATAATCTAGACTCTCTTTGGCTGAAATTTTGATATTCTCTCTAATAGTTTCCCAAACTCTGTTAATATCCACCTGAGTGTTCTCCAAGGCTGTGAACCTATTTGAAATTTCAGCGTGATACTGCTCTTTACTCGTCAGCTCAATCGATTGCTTGAGATTGAAACTCTTCATGTGAAATAAGTGCATTGTTTGTTTGCTCACTGCCAGTCTCTCCCGAAATTTTGCCACCACCAGACAGTGGTCCATCGATAGCCAAACACCTTGTAACATTCATGCTTATACCCACTAACCACCCCCCAAGTGACTTGGGTACATTATTAAAATGAACTTCATGTTAAATACTGGCATCAGAGGCATTCAGAACACATTGAATGTTGTCCACACCTTGTTTGTAATATTAGGCTTTTCTTTTGTCCTAAATAATGCATACCTAAGGTTAGGTTTTGAGTTATATATTTGAAAATGAACTTCTAGCCTCTACAGGTGGGGGAACTTGTTGCCTCTGCAGACTAGTAATGGGGCTACAAATGTCTGTATCAAGTGCTTAACTAATTAAGCACTATGCCATGAAGGCATATGGGATAGTGGATGTATAGGTCCACATTTTCTTGACCTCAACACTAGCTGGAGGTGAGTGGTCATCTTCATGCCCTGGCCATTTTACCCCCAGGGAAAGGGCCCCTGGTACCCATTGGATAGGAGATTGGGTGAACCCCAGAGCCGGTCTGGATGATGTGGAGAAGAGAAAATTCATGACCCTACCAGGACTGGAACTCTGACCCTAGTTGTTCAGCCTGTAGCTAGTCCCTACACCAATTACCAATTCTGGCTCCACATATGTCTGTAAGAGGGGGACCCAAAAATAACTGGAAACGACCTGTTGCGCGCGCATGCTTTGTAGTTACGAGTTGTGCTGCTAGGTGGTGTTAGCTGGGGGTCTCCCGCGACTGTTAGTGAGCTGGCGTCAGTCTGAGTTAAGTGGTTTGTCTGTGGTGCTCTGTTGTGTGCGTTCCTGTTTCAACCCTTTGGCGATTAGTGAGATGGCCGACCAGAAGGAACAAAGAGTGTGCGTGAAATTGATGAAGATCGTCGAAAGACCATTGACCAACTTTCTGAGGAAACGAACATCTCATGGAGCACGGTCCAGCGATTTTAACTGAAGGTTTGCACACGAGACAGGGTGTCTGCAAAATTTGTTCCTCGCTTGCTCGGAGATGACCAAAGAGAAAACCGCGTGAATGTTTGCCGCGACTTGAAGAGTGAAGTGCAGTTTTCCCTAACAGAAAGCAAAATTTCACGCACACTCTTTGTTCCTTCTGGTCGGCCATCTCACTAATCGCCAAAGAGTTGAAACAGGAACGCACACAACAGAGCACCACAGACAAACCACTTAACTCAGACTGACGCCAGCTCACTAACAGTCGCGGGAGACCCCCCAGCTAACACCACCTTGCAGCACAACTCGTAACTACAAAGCATGCGCGCGCAACAGTTCGTTTCCGGTTATTTTTGGGTCCCCCTTCGTATGCATGAGTAATTGGTTATATAGTATAAAGACATACCCAGTGCTTCTTGTCCAATGTGTACCAGGGGCTCTTTACTCAGGTGTAAAGTCACTGGGCATGAAGCTGATCGCTCACCTCCAGCTATTGTCAAGATCAAGAATATGTGGATCTATACATCCACTGGCCCATACATCTTCATGGCGTAGTGCTTAATTATTTAATTACAGGGACAACTTCACCATTAACTTTACCAACTTTTGGGTTAAATGTGTAATTCTTAAAAGTATGGCGCTGTGCAATACCAGTTGTGTCATATTTTAAGTTTTAAACACCAAGTAAAAGTACATTCAAATAAGATAACAAAGTCAGGAAATGAGTTACTAAAGAAACAAGATTTTTCTAGGATCAGTCATCATTTCATTGTGTATTCTCTGAAATACCAGATAGCAGTTTTATTACTGGAAAGTAGCCAGAACATATTGATTTCTTTCACTTGTTCATGATGATGTGTGTTTGAATGTAACATTCAACAGAGTCACACATGATATTATTTGTGTTTGCTTAACTCAGCACAACCATAACATAAATTAAATTAAAGTGACCTCACCTGGGAGTGAATTAGTTTCCAGGAGGTATATAAAAGTATATCCAAATACAGGAAAATGTATTTCTTTTAACATGCTGGTACAACTAGCAGTTTTTTTGCTGGTACATATGTTGGAAAACATGTCAAAAGTTGTGCCCAGGGTGGTGAATTGTATTTTTCAACCTTGAGGTTAAAATTGAGTGTGGGAGTGCCAGCAAACATATTCTTAGAAAAAGGTCTGGGTACTGCTTTGGTAATTAAATTGTGTAACTACATCAAAACATTCCGAGAGGAAGGGAAGTTATGCATAATAGCCCAAGGAGGAATATACATAATAATATGTAGGGGATGCCAGAGAGGAATGATATTGTGGAAAGTAAGGAGTCTGGAAACTGAATATGGTTGGGCGGAACAGTTAACAGGGGTTTTGGTGCATGTGTAGTTAGTACAAAAATTGGAGCCACATATTGAGATGTGAAGAAACAAAGATTTGGAGGTAGCAGATTTTGGATAACAGGTTAGCTACAGTGGAACCTTGCTTAGCGAGCATAATTCGTTCCAGAGTCTTACTCGTAATGCGAAACACTTGTTAAACGAAAAAATTTTTCCCATATAAATTAATGTAAAATACGATAATGCGTTCCACGCCGAAAAATATACTCAAAAAATTTTTTGTGTAACGTTTATTCAAAGAAAATTATATATACATTGTTAAAGAGCGTGAATCATCTTCATCTTTTCTTCTATGCAGAATGAACCAACCTGGAATGCATATTCGATTTGCAGAAAAAAAATCGAAATAATTAGTTTATTATTTATGATACATATCTAATTATTTTTTATTAGAAAGCTGTCTAGAGACATTTGTTTTTGCCGACGCTTCAAAATTTGGTTAAAATGCGACACAGCATTATCATTAAATAAATTTGTAGTGTACATAGCCACTGCCTTATTAGGGTGATGCTTCTCAGTGTACAATGCAACAGTTTCCCATGCTTTCAGCATTTCTCTTATTGTGCCAGAAGATTGTTGCTTTGCTGTTTCCTCCTCCTCCTCCTCTGACAAACTCTCCTCCACAACTTCTTGCTGTGAAACACAATGCAACTCCAAATTGTGCAAATTGTTGATGTAGACCGATTGTATGTGCGTGCTAGATCAGCCACGCTCACACTTCGTTCTCGCTTTTCAGTGATTTTACGTTTTATTTCTACGGTTATTTTTATTCTCTTATGGCTGTCTTTTTGCGGCTTTTTCTTTGGGGACACTTTTGCAAGGGTTATTAAACTTTGCACAAAAAAAATCACAAATAATATGTCTGACCACAAGTTTGGAAAAATGTGTGATCACAAGCGACACTAAGATGCTAGCGGAATGAGTGCTAAACACAGGCTGATGTAGCAAGCCCACAATCCGGGACTTCCCCTCTCATCACTCGTTATGCAAGTCATTTTTTTACAATTTGTTTTGTTCGTTATGCGAATTACTCGTGGTGCTCGTTAAGCGAGGTTCCACATATTGTTGCATAATTAGGTATTAGAAGGACAGTAGGAGGGTAGGATGCAAGGATAAAGAGCAGAGGCAGAGAGTAGGAATGTATCATTTTCATCAGTAATCTGTCAGACGACAGGTCCACAGTCTCTTCCAAAACAGTTCCTCCACTTAATGCGATCTCAAGCTTTCTCCTTCAAATAAAAATATCCTCTTCTGTCCCCAAGGTCATCTAG